TACCGGAAGAACCATGGATGTAAACTGCCCAGATATGCGTTCAATTCGAGACCAAACCTGTGATGTTGGCGTGAACCGGTTCAACGTACTCACGTAAGCATGCCAGGAAGCACGCCTCGCCTCCCTTACGGTGCGCCGAGCAAAAGCCCTCGCTTTTTTAAAGGCTATGAGGTTTTCTGTACTGCTCCTGGCGTCAAAAGCCCGAAACGCACGTTTACGCGCCCGGATGGCGGCGCTCCGACACTCCTCCGTCCACCACGGAACAGGAGTACGTCGGGGAGCGCCAGACGTGCGTGGGATACAACTATTGGCACACTCTAAAAGTCTTTGAGTAAAATCCTCAATAGAGGGTACGAACGATTCGTCAAGCCGAGTCTCAAATTCGCACAAGTCCGCTTTCTTAAAATTCCAGCGTTGTGGCCTGACACCCAACGCTCCACCTCTCATAAACCGGACCCACACTGGGAAGTGGTCGCTTCCCATGGGGTCATCTCCAACACTCCACTCGAGGTGTTGGACGAGGGGACTGGAGAGGCTTAAGTCTAGCGCTGACGTCTGACCGGATGGCATTGTAAAATGTGTACGAGTTCCTGCGTTTAAAATACATAAGGAAGCACCGTGGATAAAGTTCTCACACAACCTCCCACGAGCATTGGTGACGTCGCACCCCCATACGGTGTGATGCGCATTAAAATCGCCTAGAAAAAGAAGTGGTGGAGGCAGTTCAGCCAGCAGACATCTAAGGTGCGCCAACGGAAAAACAAGGCCCGGTGGAAGGTAAAGTGAACAAACAGTGATGTGACGATGATTGAAATAAAGCCGCGCGGCCACAGCCTGAAGTGTGGACCGCAAGCTTAGCCTCCTCGCTGGCACGCTATGGTAAAATGCCAGGAGGACGCCACCGTGAGCAATGCTCTCCGTCACCACGTCGTTGCGAAACATCACATATCTTTTCAAGGAGCAGAAAATTTCAGGCGCTAGCTTGGTCTCCTGCAGCGCCACGGCTGCAGGAGAGACTCTGCTGAAGACAGCCTCGAGGTCGAGGGCGTTCGTCCTTACTCCTCTACAGTTCCACTGTAAAAACGCCTGTTAAAGGGCGCATTAAAAAAAAATAACTATGAGATGCGAAAAGCTAAAACAAGTCCCGGCTTAAAAGAACTCGGCTGGGCCAGTTGCATGTCCAGACGCCTCAGACTGAGAGCTACGGCTTGACTCCAGAGGGCCGTGCCCCACCCTAGGACGAATTCTTGGGCTCCCTCCGTCAGATGGAGAAGAGGGGCCGGCTGGGGCACGCTTTACGCCAGCGTACCCAGTCCGGGGTGGAGGCGGGGAGGGCCCATCGGTGGGCCTCTACCGGGGTTTGAGGGACCAGCGGGGGCCTCCACCGGCTTCCGTGGCGATGGAGTGCTGTTTCGGGGGACGGGCTCTTTATCTGCCCCGGACAGGAGGCTTGCCGCCTTAGCGCGCTCCAGTTCGGCCAGGCGCGCTCGCTTGGCCTCGCGGGCGCACCTGTCAGCCTCCTGACGCTCCAGCGTCTCTGCCACACGCTCACAGGCACTGGCAAGAGGTGTCTGTAGCAAAGGGACCGATTGGGTCGCAGACGAAGGCACGGCCGGCGGCGCGCGGGGACTCCGACCACGCCGAGCCGTCGTCCAACCGTCGCCCGCTGGTGATCCGGCGCGCACCGAGGAGGCCAGCGATGCGGCGTCCACCGACTGGTCGATCGGCGGAGAGGGAGCTCGGGGTGCCAACTGGGAGTCGGGCGTTCGGACCGAGGGAGCAACCGACAGGCCAAACGACCTCAGAAATGCCACGAACTGAACGACCGTCATGTACTCGATGGCATTACTTTGTGGTAAAGAAGTTTTCACTTTTGACGCATACGATATTTTGGGGTGGCTGTCGTTGTAAAGTTCACAAGCTTCACGAAAAGAGACATTTCTAGAGGTTTTCATCGATATAATCCCTTTTTCTTTCGCGTAGGCCGGACATGTACGGTCGTACGTCGTGTGTGGGATTTGGTCCTTGCCGCAGTTCACGCAGTGGGGTTCAGCAGAGGTGCAAACTTCGCTCGTGTGCTCGAATGACGCACATTGACCATACGCTGGGCGGTTACGACAGTGGAGCTTGGTATGGCCTAATCGCTGGCACTGGTAGCACCGCATGGGGTTAGGCACATAAGGGCGAACCTTCACTCGAGCGCACCCGTCAGACGAGAATCCTGCAAGCGCTCGTCACACCAAACCCTGAGAGCTCCTCGACTCTCTCGTCCTCGGCGACGTCACGAAGATCGAAACAAATGGCTGCGCCCCTGGATGAATTTTTGGTTTTATGTTGTGTTCCTGATATTGACAAGGTCTTTTCATGCTTGCCAGTCTCATCCCGAACAGCAGCCGTAACTTCCTTGGCTGACATGGCCCTGCTTGCCTCCAGACCACTAGCGAACTCTACTTCTATTTTCCCATCCCGGAGCTTGTCACATCTGGTGATTTTCCCAAACCTGTCGCAGCCGTTCCGCCTCTGAAACGGTGAGAGGGAAGCCAGTTTAATCTCTTCACTACCGAAGATCAGGATCCGTGGACCGGGGGCGCAGATTTCTCTCTGCACCCTGGGGCTATCGAGGTCCGCCCCCCTTTCGGAGGACGGGTGTTTTTAGAGGTAGAGGATGCCATGCAAAAAGAAGTTTTCATTTCGGCACCGGGGCTCCCCACCCATCTCGGAACCCGACTGGGGGACGCCCAACACTCCCTCGGGAGGAGGTCACCGCCAGGGCTGCCCCGGTGCTATACGGGGCGAACGACGCCTCCCACACGGCCAGGTGTAACCGGGGAGACCCCTCCCCGTCCTGACCGTGGTTCAGCGCCGCCGCCCCTTGACCCCTTAAGCCGCTGCGCGCGGCCAAGCGCCCCAAGCAGAGACCCGCAAGGAGCACCCAACCGTAACGCGAGCGACAAGCCGCTAGACCCGTGTGGGGCCCCACGGGCCCCCCGCGCCCCCGGATATCCTGGCCAAAGTGGAGTATTGGGACGCGCCGTGACTGACCCGCACGACGCACCCCTCAGCCACCACGATCTGATCAACCCGGGGACGAGGGTGAGAGGCACGGCGACCCCGATAAAACGAGGATCAGGAGTGATGAGTGGGCCGGATGCAGGAAAGTGGGTAATGGGGAGGGAGCGGGCGGGACAAGGAGCAGGAGCTCACGTACCGGCAGGGTCGCTACGCCCTGAGAGGAACAGCTTGCGCTGTCCACCCGTTACCGGAGCTGGGACCCGAGGGGGCGCTAGTCCCCTACACCGGCCAGAGCCGGTGCCCCTGCGGGGAGTTGACGTAGGAAATGAAAGCGCCCGCGCATTCTCCGAACGATGTGGTAGCAGCAATGCCATCCTGCGGTTTACACGTCATCGGATCCGCTCCGGTTCCGCTCCGGTATACACGTCATCGGATCCGGTCGACTTCAGCACGACGGAGCAGTTGCCTTACAACCGACCTTTTGCAATGGCCGAACTAATTTCCGCGATCGGATCGCTGCGCAGCGTGGCAGAGAGTCCGGATCTAGTTCACAACGCCATGCTTAAGCAACTTCCCACTTCAGTAGTTGAGACCCTCTTAGCAGCCTACAACAAGCTCTGGGCGACAGGAGGTTTTCCGGAGTCTTGGCGTGAGCCATATATTGTTCGTATGCTCAAGCCTGGCAAGAGTGCGGCTGGCCCTGCCGACTATCGCCCTATCTCACTAACATAATGCATTTGTAAGTTGATGGAACGTGTGGTAAATGTACGTTTGACGTGGTTTTGGAGCGGTACAACGTTTTCATGGCTGCTCAACATGGATTCAGGAAAAATCGCAGTACCATTGACCATCTTATGGCTCTCGACACGGACATGTCGGATACCGTGTCATGCGGGTATCGCAGGTAACGAGCGTGGTGACGCGGCCGCAAAACGGGCAGCGCGTGCACCTTGCATACCCTTGCCGGCAAGGGACTTTTACCCAGCCATCGCGATCTTTGTAAAGGGGAAATGACATCGCTGCTGGGACGGCATTGTAAGCAACAAGTTAAAGGTGATCAAGCCACAACTGGGTCCATGGCCGTCAAGCTCACGTAAGTTGAGACGCGAAGAAGTAACCCTCAGCAGATTACGAATTGGCCACACGCACTTAACACACAGCTACCTTTTGTGCGGCGGAAAACGGCCTAAATGTCCTCGTTGTGATGCGCTACCCACGGTTCGCCACGTTATTCACTCTTGCCGACAGATCAACGAAGAGCGGGAACTTTACTTCGGACGAGATGCGTCAGGTCTTGCCTTTTCAGACCTTATTGGTGACGATTCTCGCATGCTTGGCACCGGACAGCTGTTTTTATTTTTGAGAAGCGTAAGATTCACAGCCATTTATGCACCTCGGTAAGCACTTAGCTGTTATGGACGCAAAATGGCCCCAGGAGTCGGCGCGCCCTAAGACCCTAATCATCATCAACTGAGCTACATGCACACAAAGGTGTGCAGACTTTTTCGTGTAGACAATTTCAAGGTCACCCAGGCATCTATGAACCCATTATAAAGTCGGGGCAATAAAACGCAAAGTCATTGTAAAGTCATTCACACTCGGTCATTCCGTGGTGAAAGACGCATTCAATGGTGAACGTTTCACAGCGACCGGTGTGCTGGGTTCTGAGATCTGCTGTGCTTTTGCATGCGAAATTTTCCCTTTATGCTGTTTTTAAAATGTCTAATCCAAGTGAGGTCTGGATATTGCCGTAATCTGACTTAACTTATTATGCTGAATCGATTGGTCAACGTTGCAAGGCGATTGGACGAGCTGTTTCTGAGAAAGACCATGTCTTTCTCATGTGCCGGTCTTTTAGACCCGGCTCAAGACCTGCCTCCCGCGAAGGGCACGTAACTTGCGCAAGGGTGACGGGCGCACCGAACGGCTTGGAATTGTCTGGGGCGGGCCATTGCTGTTGTGTTGGACGTCAGTGCGGGCATCGTCTCCCTGTATCACGTGCCTGCGCTAACCACTTAACAGGCGATGTAAAATTGCATATGGGACCTACTGAGCCAAACAGCTACACAATCCAATGCGCCAAATCGAAGTGTTGAGTTTGTATAGTTACCCCCTACTTCAAGTACATGCATGCTGCAAAAGCTGTTTAAATGCTTGTTTTTTCTGCTTTTGACATCTGACTTGTACTGTAATTGTGTACATCAAATTGTTCATAATTCTGTGGCTGGTTATAAGCCTAATGGTAGTGGCAAACTGCACAACATGTAAGTCAAGTAATGACCAATTAACTATCAGAAGTTTTGTACAAATGCATTTGGAACAGGCTGTGCATCTTAGGCACTGTGCAAGTGAATCTAGAATTTTGCTGGTATGGGCATTGATTTTCCAATAGCATTCACATGATTTTGCCATGGAGCAGATCTTATTTTTAAACCCCAGAAGGGTCTTGATAATGGTTTAGGATTTAGATCATGCTAACTACCTTGATTGCATGGTGCTCATAGAGGGAGATTAAGTATGGAAGTCTTATGCCTCTCCTGCCCAGGGCTCCTTCCCTAGATCCTCCCCTTGGTGCATGTATTGGTGTTAGGTCATGGCCAGAGGTCCAGGTAAATGTCGTGTGTAGATAGAGGTGCAGCATACAAGCCATCTCACCAGCTGTTACATTGTGGTCAGGTACCACAATGGTGTAAACAAGTCACCAGAGTCTCATGCACCATTCCAGGCATGTTACTTTTTGGTAGCGTTGTATTAGTCTTGCCATAGAAGATTTGCTAGGCCATCACAACTAATGCTACCTCAGATTACAGCTGCTCTTGTAAGTGGAGATATATTAATGCTGAAGCACTGATTTCCTGGCATCTAGAGAATTTGCATTATATTTAAAATCTTCTTTTCTGGCAATCTAGGTATTGTTCAATGTGTATGTAGCATCTGGCATTATATCTGTGTTTCTAGAGCTAGGGTCAAGATGGCTTCAGTACAGTGGCTTTGGGCCTGGCATTTGACATTGGGCTGACAGAGCTATATGATGGATGCCATAGTTGAAATATAAGCTTATATGTTGACCAAATTGAGGGGCTGACTTTGCCAATCTATTCTTTAATGCAGTAAGTAATCCTTCCCTTGATCCATCTAGGTAAATTTTCAAGAGCTATACAAGTATTTTGTCCACCCTGCGCACTTTCACAACTACCATGCAGTGATGGCTAACTGGGTCTCAGGTAAAAGAGGTGATTTTATGCTTGATTTAGCCCAAGGTCTCTTAACATGGATCTTCCCCACAGATGACACTGGCATGCAGGTAATCAATAGCTGCCATCAGCTTTTGTTTAATGTTTTTTTTATCTATCAGCTATCTCAGCTAGTCCATCCTTTAAATGCATTCACATTTTGTAGTGCCCTATTTTTAGGATTGATGAAAAAGCATTTCTTCATATCTATGGGCCCTGACACTTTCAGCCTGAGGCAGGATCTCTAGGGTTCAGACATGGACAAGTTAAAGAAGGTTTTCAGTGGCAGTGAGGCAAACAATGCTGATACAAGTGATGCCGAGTCGGGAGGAATCATTTCACAGGTTAGTGGGGCTTTGTGCTTTGATGAGTTTTGCTGTACTAGTGCCATACAGTGTCATCAGGTATGTTGTTAGAAGTTGATCAACCATTTATTGTGACTTTATAAGTTGTTGTGTTCAGTTAATGCTATTACAAGAGAAAGATTATAGGATATGAACCAGTAGGTAGATTTACATAGATATAAAATGCTTAGTCAGCCCACTTGGTTAGCCTTAAGCACTGTATGAATGTGAACCAGCTACTTGGGCAATGAAATCCCCAGACCATTCAATATCAGTAGATGTGAATGTTAAATTTGTTAAATTAAATTAAATTTGTTAAACTGAGAGCCTCTGCTAGAACATCAGGCCATCCTCACATGTGCATGATCTGAGATCTGTTTCTGCATGGGACGTGTGTGGGAATGTGCTGATGCATAATATTGGTCTTTTCAGTTTGTGGATACATCCACTTTAAGTTGGAGCACTAGAGTAAAAGGATTTGTAATTTGTTTTGTTGCTGGTGTGGTTTGCTCCATGCTGGGTTGTGCCTTCTTTTGGTTGAAGCATGGCATTGTTATATTTTGCATATTTTACACACTTGGAAACATCGTAGCCTTGATGAGGTGAGATGTGTTTGACATTTCTGTTTGTTTGGTGGACATTTTGTCATTGCATGCCAAACAGTCACTAGTGATTTAGTTGCCTTTGTTTTGAGATAATAAACCATTATTTTGAGGCATTTTTAAAGTATTTGTTTTCATCAGCACTCTTGATTTGTTTACTTCCTCTGGTCTCTGGTACTTCCTTCCTTTCAACTCACTCATCATGACTGTGCTCTGGTTGCTGGTGATGTGTGGGGGTTTTTGCAGCACCTGCTTCCTGATGGGTCCCATGAGACAGCTGAAGAACATGTTTGCCAAGACACGCATGGTCGCCACAGTGGTGATGCTGCTCTCGATTTTGCTGACCATTGTAGCAGCCATTGTGAGTAGCCGGGATCGCAGCTGGTGCCGATGGTTGGGGTGGGCTTACACTAGCAGCCACTGTGAGTAGCTGGGATGGCAGCTGGTGCTGATGGTCGGGGTATCTTACACTAGCAGCCGCAGTGAGTAGCCAGGATGACAGCTGGTGCCAATGGTTGGGGTGGGCTTACACTGGGAGCCGTTGTGAGTAGCCGGGATGGCAGCTGGTGCTGATGGTTGTGGTGGGCTTACACTAGCAGTCACGCTCGAGGAGCCCATCCGCATGTGGTGCGTTGTGGATGGCCTAATGGGGTGCATTACCTTTCCAGGTTTTCTGTTTTTACATCTGTATAGTTTTGCCTGAAGTGCATGATGAATTTGAATAAACAAAAGTGCACGCTCATGCTGGGCGTATTTGTTTCGGTGATGGCATTGTTGCATGCTGCATGTCTGTCCATCCCATGTATATCTAGCTTTTCCGTGATCAAAATGATTCGCTCGCTGATTGGTTTGACGTCTTTCAACAGCTGGATTGGAAGGCACTGGTGCTGCTGTTCTGCATAATCGAGTTTCTGGCGATGACGTGGTACTCGATATCGTATATTCCGTACGCCCGCGACGCCTGCATCAAGTGGTTCGAGTCCTGCCTGGGCTAGAAGACCCACACCGTATTTGCGAAAGTGAAACCTGGGTATGGTAATGTTATCAGGTAACCTTAAATGGCAACCAGATTAATTTTCTTGAGGTGCTTCTTTTGAAGATTTTTGTGTTTTGCGATACAATTACGGTATAAATCCAGATTATAGAATGAGATAGCTCGTTGAATATCAACAAATGCGAAGATTCGCTTTACATATCCTACACCTTTTAGGAAGAAAGTTTGTCAAATCAATGTAAGCCCGTATTTTGTAGTGGCGCCCCAAGTGCGGCGTAGATATACGTAGTTGCTGCAGCTTCCTTTGGATCGACCCTTTGCGAAGGGTATAACGGTGTTCTTTTTTAGCATAAAGGCAGAGGCTAAACGCACGGTCTTTTTTTAGCTCCCTGCGGAAATTTGTTGAGAAGTTGTGGTCTTGATTCGTCTAAAAATGAAGCGCAATTTCCTATCTGGTTGACAAGCCTGCCGCCGCTTCAGAATTGAGAAAACAACGTTTCGGTCCCGAGAGTGTGCGTGCCATTTTCGGATGACGTGTGCAGTAGGTGGGGTTGCCAGGACGCCGGGGCTGCTGTTTTTCTCGTGTATGCACGAAGCTGTCATATAAGGCTATCCTACCAACGCGCAGATGACGTATCGATAGGCTTCTCTCCTTGTGTAGAATTTCCATGTCTGGGTCATGTTTGTATCTCCCAAGCGTGTAACGTGAACGAGACTTCAACAAGCGCAACATGAGCCGTCACGCGGCTCATGGTGGACTGCCGCGAAACTGGGGAAAATCCTGCGTTTGTTATTGGGTAAACGTTGCTTGTTATTGCGATGCCGAGGATTTGCTTTTTCGTCGTGCTCATGCTTACGTGGCTGTAGTGTTGCTGTTTTCGTCGCCATAAAGTGTGCCACAGTACTCGGCCACCGGCCGTGTGACGTCCGTCAAGCATTGGCGCTGTCACTGCGCTGAATTGCCGGCGTCTGTGAACTGGGGACTGACTTTGCCAAAGATTGTCATCGGTTGTCGAGAAAATACATATCCGTCTTGTGTATTCGATCGCTGCGCTTTCGTAGGGCACCGATAGCGGCGGGGGGGGGGGGGGGGGGGGGCAGTAGTACGACGGAGCTCGCCGGCGTGCATCGCGAAGGGCTCGCTCGGTGGCGGCGTCTGCGGCTGCGATATGTCGTACACCGCTGGCGACACCTGAGCCACCCGCTCCAGGCAGCGGTGGTCGACACTGCGAGCCCCCGCTGGCTTCACCTGAGTCGCCCGCTCCTGGCAGCGGTGGTCGACACTGCGAGCCCCGCTGGCGTCACCTGAGCCGCCCGCTCCTGGCAGCGCTGGTCGACACTGGGTGCCCCGCTGGCGTCGCCGTGCGGCCTGCCGCTCCTCAGTCTCCGGCGAGCGGTTCATGACTGGCTTTGCAGTCTTGGTCGAAAGCATTGTCGTTGGGAATGCCTCTGACTGAGAATATTGGTATCCAGGGAATACGCAGTGGCCGCAGACGGCGTGGAGTCGGATCGGCACGTGGCGCGACGTGTGGTGGGTTTAGGCGGGCCTGTGTGAACCTTGGGTGGGCCGGTGTGAAATCAGTCAGCCCAGGACGTGCGCCCGGTCTTGGTTCTAAATTGGTGTTAAGCGAAGCCTGGCGCCGCTGCCAGAAAACTAGCCGAGTGTGTTGATTGTTTCTCGTCTGAAGTGCGACGTGATGTTCTACATAATAGTAATGAGCATTGCACTGCACTGCACTCTCGATGTGCGCGATGGCGTGGCCGAGGGCCGCGGCGCGGGGCGAGCTGGACCGAACGGATCAAATGTAGCTGGGGACCAGCCATACGGGGCTCAAGACAATCAGAGGTGAAAGGACCGCAGCGCGGGGCTGGACAGACCGAGCGGATCAAATGTAGCCGGGGACGAGCCATACGGGGCTCAAGACAATCAGAGGTGAAAGGACCGCAGCGCGGGGCTGGACAGACCGAACGGATCAAATGTAGCCGGGGACCAGCCATACGGGGCTCAAGACAATCAGAGGTGAAAGGACCGCAGCGCGGGGCTGGACAGACCGAACGGATCAAATGTAGCCGGAGACCAGCCATACGGGGCTCAAGACAATCAGAGGTGAAAGGACCGCAGTGCGGGGCTGGACAGACCGAACGGATCAAATGTAGCCGGGGACGAGCCATACGGGGCTCAAGACAATCAGAGGTGAAAGGACCGCAGTGCGGGGCTGGACAGACCGAACGGATCAAATGCAGCCGGGGACCAGCCATACGGGGCTCGAGACAATCAGAGGCGAAAGCGGCCATGGCTTAAACGTTTGCTAGGGTTGTGAATGAGAATGGATTTCCTGAATTTTGCATCCTGAGGTGTCATCCAGCGCAGCACCGACACTTCCCAGTTACCATCTCAGTGGTCATGAACCTGGACAGCGACACACACTTCCGTAGATGAGAAAATATATTATCCCCATATCACAAGGTGTTCTCGTGCATCACAAGCGACAAATAAATGACAACAGACCAGACAACCCCGTCGACAACAATGCGCTTTGGCCCGGGTCGCAAAATACCATAGTTTGGCTACACGGAAAGGTCACGGCTCCTGGCAGCGCCAGCGAACCCCACAGCACACGTTGCACACCGATGGAAGGCATGCCCCCGCCCACGAATACAGGAGGGCGCCAGACGGCGACAGGGCGAGAGCAGATACAGCCAGGAGAAAACCACCAACCAATCGGGGCGAGATAAACAAGCAACACTTGGTCGCAAACGTCACTATGACTACCTGGGTAAATAACGACCACACCCGATGTCGTCAACTTGGTTATTGTTCAGCACCAGACTATGCGGATAACTAATGCAGGTGAGACTAGCGAGGTCGCATACAGCCGCCAAAACACCGTTGTGCGCGGCGGGTGCGCCGATTCGCCGCGGCACTACAGGCGTCGCCTGGAGTCCACCCTTTGAGACGCATGGCATGACAGACAACCCTGCACGGCGCGCGTGGACACGGCAGGCGAAAATCAAACGGCACCCCTGACTAGAACGGCCAACCCATACGGAAGGCGGCCGGTGCCCTCCGCCCGGGCTCGCCCGCGCGCTGGCGGCGGCGCTCGCACACGTGTTGGAGGGCAGACAACAGGAAGCCGAGGGCAGATCGGATGCCGCCGAGCTGCTGGCGGTCAGTTCAAACTCACGTCAAGCGGATCGAGCGGCGGAACGGCCCGGCTCGCGCGGCCGACGTCGCACGGCGTCATCGCGACGCACAGATTGTCGAAACAACAGCGGAACGAAGCGGCGGCCGCCCGGTCACACGGCACGCCGAGAAGACGACGCGGGTCACCCCGGTGTCCCCCACTCACCGGCGTGCGACGGGCCCGGCAAACTGGCGCCGCAGAAAGTGCACGGACCGTACCCGGGCCCGCCTCGCACAAAGCACACTCAGAGCAATATTGTGAGCCGATCGAGCGACATGTATGGAATAATACGCACTACTGCTTGCTCCCTATGACCTGCGCCGCGGTCACCGCTCGACACTTACGACCGGCCATTTCGGCTTCGGTATTCACGGCCGCCATGATAGCGGCTCCACGCACTGCCCGGACCCGGCCGCGCCGCACCCCGACACTCGCTGACGTCCCGCGTCCTGGGGCAGGGCCGCGCGCGCCTACTTCTGCTCTCCAAGCGGCTCGAGGAAGTCGGCGGCGAGCACCGCCTCCACCGCGCGCACAGTCTCGGCCTCGGCGGCGGCGGGCCGGCCGCGGCGCGCGCCGCCCGGCCGCAGCTCGGCCGAGCCGGCCGCGCAGTGACGGCCGCAGCCCAGCGCCACGAAGAACGGGAACAGGTCGGCCGGCGTGCGCACGGTCGTCCTGTGCAGCAGCGGCTGGTGCGGCTCGGCCTGCAGCGGCGCCGGCGGCGAGCCACGGCACTGCGGTAACGGGCGGCGCCGGTTACGCGCCGGCCCCCGTCGGCCAACTGTCGTCGGTCACACACCCCGTGGCACATTGGGGACTCGTTCAACACGGATGGAATCAAATGGACGTTGAACATCTTGTACGGGGAATATCTGACAGGCGCGGTCCTGCGGATACGCGCACCTATCCCGTCGGCGACCAGCACAGTTGACGTAACCCCAGAGACATGCCAGTCGGGCAATACCGCTGGAGCCGCACATACCGGTATGTACCGATTCGTATTCACACGTTTGTGGCCATACCTACACAAGAATACTCCAACCCATGCGCTGCAATAACTACGTCTAAACCACCCGGCACTCGGAATGACTGCGATCTATCACAGTTGTATCCTCCGACACCATGGGGATCGACCAGTCAGTCGCCGTTACCTTGCGCCAAGGCCGGGGCCCACGCTGGTCCGAGGCCTGTTTGACCCGACACCCAGCGCGACCAGCGGCGCCTACCTTGTCCAGCACGAGGTGGGTGAGCCGGGTCACGTGCGGCACGAAGTCGCGCGGCAGCAGCTGGTCCTTGGCCTCGGAGGCGGCCGGCGCTGGCTGCTGGCCGCCGGAGCCGACGAACGCCCACCGGTACCTGGGCCAGCGGCACGTACACGGGCCGTCAGCGCCGGCGCTGGGCACACGGCTGACCGGCCCGCCCGCCGGCCGCCGCCCACGCCACACCAAGCACCAGCATTAGCTCTCGGCCAGCTCCAGCAGAACCATCACGAGACAGGTGAGCATCTGGCAACTCGACGAAACCGGACCGCGCAGACCGCGGCCCCTCAGCTCGCGATTACAAGGGAAAGGGAGATATCACAATTACTCCGCCAGCTCAGCAACGCTGCCATCATCGCCCTGTCCACACATAAGTACGCTTCCCCGGCAACCCCGTGGCTACACCCCGGCTGCCCCCAGGCTGTGACCACTGCGCCTGGTGACCTCAGGTCAGGCTGGCCCCGGATTGTGGCCACTGCGCCTGGCGACCTCAGGTGAGACTGGCCCCGAGCTGTGGCTACTGTACCTGGTGACCTCAGGTCAGGCTGGCCCCTGATTGTGGCCACTGCGCCCAGCGACCTCAGGTCAGGCTGGCCCTGGATTGTGGCCACAGTGCCTGGTGACCTCAGGTCAGGCTGGCCCCTGATTGTGGCCACTGTACCTGGTGACCTCCGGTCAGGCTGGCCCCAGGCTATGGCCACTGTGCCTGGTGACCTCAGATCAGGCCGCCCCGACTGTGTCCACTGTGCCTGGTGACCTCAGGTCAGGCTGGCCCCGGATTGTGCCCAGTGCCTGGTGACCTCAGGTCACGCTGCTCCCGGCCGCGGCGACACTCACATCTGGAACTGCGGTAACCGATGCGCCGGCAGCGTCAGGCACATGTCGAGCAGCTTGCAGGCCTCCAGGTGCAGCTGCAGCCAGCCCGGGTGACTGTTGGCCGCCAGACCGTTGGTGCTGTTCAGCACCCACGACGAGTCGAGCGCCGACATACGCTTGATGTGCTGACTGTCGACAGGCACGCACCGTGGGATCGCACAGACCTCTCCGCGTCCACGGGCGAGGAGGGACGGAGGGAGAGGGGGGGGGGGGGGGGCAGTGTAGCGAGCGACATCGGACGGGGCGTGCTGGGGGGGCGAACGGAGCGCGGACGGCGACCTCCGACCCCGCCGGCGGACGGCAGTGAAAAGGCGCGGCACTGCTCCAACGCCTGTCCTGAGGTCACCACTGTGGGTCTGACCATGGTGCCTCCGCTGCGTCACCCACAACAGGATCACACACGCTGCTGCGACACAAACCACACTCGCGAATTCAGATTTACTATTTCTGCACAACTTTGAATATGCCAACGCATCGCAAGCAGTCAAGTGAACGTTTGCGGAATGGGCCAGGCAAAACATAGAACACAGGCCAGCCAAGTTATACATCACTTAAGTCGGTCCCACATCCATCATGGAATCTGTATCGAGTGGGTCTACATCAAGACGGCAAATTACCTGTCCTTCCTTTGTATTCAGCAGCAATAGAAAGAGACAAAGTTAATTGTTTGGCGGAAATCCCGACCGAAGAGTTGACTGCATGCTGCAGCCGAAACGCTCGTAAACCCAAATATCCCACATGATGTCAGGAGCACCGCAGCACATTGGCAGAGCCCGCCAAAAGACGGAGGGACGTAGCTAACGCCAGTAAATTTTGTACAATTTATTGCGAAGTTAACAAGAACGCCACACTAAGGCCATACCATATAAGCCAGAACAAGATCACCAATCAGGAAGGAAGTATCCGTACTCAAGCAAACGGTACGGGAGGGGGGGGGGGGAGGAGGTCATAACCAGCTGCTGCTTGTGTTCACGGGGATTTTGCTCCTCGGAGCATAATGCGTACGATCTCACAGCAATACACAATTGAACGAAATGATCGTCACCACCACGGTGAAACGATGCCGACCAAACACGCTCAGAAAGCGACCAACAAACCAGTTTAGTACTTGGCTTGCAAACGAGTGAACCGACCGGGCTCACACGATGGACACGTCATTTTCCGTGCATGACCATCGCATGACGACGTCCAGATCGCGCCGGTTACTCCTTACTGCACCACACAGTAGAGCCGCGGTGGAGCTGGCCAGCTCTTGGACGCCTCCCGCCGACAGAGACGCACCTGAACTCCTCGGTCTCCATGCTAAGCTGGTGCTCCATCTGCAGGAACACCTGCACCATCTCGGTGATGATGGACGGCCAGAGCGAGACCACGTGCCGCTGCGACATGCGCAGCAGCAGCACGCGGAAACAGAGCAGCACCGCCGACTGGATGGAGGGCGCCACCTGCGGCAGCCGCAGGCTCTCCGCCAGCTTCTCTGTGTGGCACGCCGCGGCAGGTCAGGTATTGTAGGCCAGCTAGGTGACACTGGACGAGAACAAAGTACCAGTCTTAAGGCCACCCACTTCCTACACTTGTCCAAGACCGTCTCCTACGCATCGACTAAAAAGTTATCTCCCACTCATTGCAGACAGCGCCCAGCGCCAGTACGCAGCGGCACCATTGACAGTGGAGTTACTTAACGTTATTCAGCAGCAGTTTTTTTAAAAAAAAAAATATGCTGCTGGAAGCTAACCTCGGCAAGTTATCCCTACTATTCCAGGAAATTCAAAACCGGTCCAAACTGTCGCACCCGGGGGGCAGCCCGACGGCGCCGCAAGCCGCACCCTGGATCTAGGGCACATGTGACTATCGGTCTCCCCACCTACCCTGGATCTGGGGCACATGTGACTGTCGGTCTCCCCACCTACCCTGGATCTCGGGCAGATGTGACCATCAGTCTCCCCACCTACCCTGGATCCCGGGCAGATGTGACCATCAGTCTCCCCACCTACCCTGGATCTCGGGCAGATGCGGCTGGTACTGGTCCTCGTCTGAGCAGAACACTACGAATGCCAGCCGCTTCAGCAGCTGGGCGCGCAGCTCGTACTCGGCCTCGCGAGACGAGAACAGGTTGAGCGTGCCCGGCTGCGAGACCACCACGCGCGCTGGAACGCCACGCCGCGGTCCGGGCGCGTTAAGCGAGCCATCTCACACGGCGCGTCACACATCGCTACCAGCGGCATCAGCCAATCGCAACTGGCGGCCACAGAAAGAACAGGATTCGCCGGAAGGGCATGAAACCATCGTTACAGAGTACCGAAATCACCAAAGCACAAAAGGCACGATGTTCATGGAAAGTAATTAAGTTAAGAACCTATCGTTTGGTGCCGAGCTGGCAAAGAGCCAAGAAGGCAACAGACTCAAGAAGGCAGCATACGTTATGTACGGCGGTGGGGGCACTGGATACGTGAGGCGACCGAGGGCGATGTGCCATATCATTGTGAGCAGGTCTTGCCAGCGCCCTGCAGACGGGCCGCTGGGATCCGATCCCCGCACTGACCGAGCAGCTCCTTGAACGTGGTCTTGTCGTGCGTCATCATGTTGTCGATGGTGGTGCGCCAGAAGGGCAGGCACTGCTCCTGCATGCTGAAGAAGGCCGGCTCGAGCAGCAGGTCGAAGGCCTCGCGGCGCCAGGCTCGGCGTGAGTACTGGTACTCGGAGAGGGCCGCCAGCAGCTGCGAGCACGCCAGGAACGAGGCGGCGTTCGCCCGGCTGGCGGCGCCGCCCCGAGAGCGGGTCACCACGAGGCACTGCACGGCCGGCGCGACAATCGGCCGCCCGACAGGGTGGCGGCCGGGGCCGACGTCACCGGTCTCGTCGGTGGGGATGCCTAAACACCGCACTCATACACCCCGTCCTCCGCGGCATTATCGACCGCGTGGCTGACTTTCTACACTTGCCACGGAAGCATCACTGGTTGCGGTCACTGGTGATCACTAGTACACTATAGCAGACATATTACTCGGCTCCTCAGTGTGTGTGTGTGTGGGGGGGGGGGGGGGGGGGGGGGGGCAAGCCGGGCGCCAGTGACGCCACTGCTGGCTCACCTGTGGTTCTTCAGGTAGGGCGTCACGTGACACATGACGCCATGAAGCAGCGGCAGCACGCGGTCCTTCTCGTCCGACTGGTACAGCACGTCCAGCAACGGCGCCAGCAGCTCGGCCAGGATCCGCAGCGCCTGCACGCTCCACTGCGCCTCCGGGGCGTGACCTGGCCGGGACCCACCGTCACAGACTGACCTGACCGGGACCCACCGTCACAGGCTGACCTGACCGGGACCCACCGTCACAGACTGACCTGACCTGACCGGAACCCACCGTCATAGACTGACCTGACCTGACCGGGACCCACCGTCACAGACTGAACTGACCGAGACCCACCGTCACAGACTGAACTGGCCGAGACCCACCGTCACAGGCCGACCTGACCGGGACCCACCGTCACAGACTGACCTGATCGGGACCCACCGTCACAGACTGACCTGATCGGGACCCACCGTCACAGACTGACCTGATCGGGACCCACCGTCACAGACTGACCTGACCTGATCGGGACCCACCGTCACAGACTGACCTGACCTGACCTGATCGGAACCCACCGTCACAGACTGACCTGACCGGGACCCATCGTCACAGACTGGGTGCTGCTGACGAAAATGTTCCTTGGGACTTTTGGGGGCGCTAAAATTTCAACGGCCATTGCACCCACGCCCTACCGGGTCTGGGTCCGATGCATTACGCCGTTATACACACAGCCGAGTACAGCTTGAAGCGAACGTATCACACAGCTGCATAAGCTGGCAAAACAGCACTGAGGAGAGTGGGATATCCATGAGTTCGGTATCTACGTCCAAGCTAATTATGGCAGGTTGCCACAAGAAGTCTAATACAGCCCTGCGCAGCACAGAATGTGGCGGTCACCACAGGAGCGCTGCGGGGCGACGGGGCGTTCCTGGCGCGCCTCACCGTTGCTGGGCGGCTTGCCGGGCTCCGGGCTGGCGGCGTAATCGCGGTCGGAGCCGCCGGGAGCGGTGCGCACCGCCAGGTTCCTCCTCAGCCAGGTGGTCTGCTCCAGGCAGGCGCCGGCCACGGCGCTGCACGCTTCCACCAGCTGCCGCGCACGCGCCCAGCCGTCACAGAGAGGGCCGGCGGCCGTGGGGGCGGAGACGGACGGCCGGGGTAGCCCAGGCAACCGTGGTAGTTTGTGAAGCCACGGTGACAAAGAGAAGTGAAGCAATTCACAGAGGGATGTGGGCACAAAACACCGCGACGTAGCATCTTGGCCGTACCCACACATTATGAAGAGCCTTTACATCTTATCAAGTACGGCGCCACAGACATGCCAGAGCCTAATGCCTTCATGACCATTACCTGCACAGCAATAAAATACACAGCGCAACCCCGACCAGACATTTCTCGATGGCAGGATTCATGCCCGCGACGGTGACAGGGCAGCCACCGCAGACACGCGCCACCCGGCAGCCCGCTCACGAGCCTCAGCCGGCCGGCCGCCTACCTTGGCAGCCACATCCTGCAGGTCGCGCTGGTCCTTCTTCTCCGGCAGCGGCGGCGCGCGCTGCACGTACTCGTTGAGCACAGCCAGCAGCAGGAACTGAGCGGGCGGCGCCAGTTGCGGCGCGTCGCGCAGCAGCTGCAGCAGCGACGCCCAGCACTCGGCCAGCAGCGGCGCCGCCACCGAGCGCAGGTAACACAGCAGGAACTGCAGCGCCGCCGTGGGTAGCGATGCCTTCTGGCGGCCGCGGCGCGGGACAACGACGTCAGCACGGCACGCTGGCAAGACGGCAGTGTTTGGCGCCACGACACCTCTCGGGTGAACAACCAATGGCCGACGGTACCGCCGCCTTGGTGCAGATCGCAACCTTTGACATCACACGACCGCAAAACCATAACAATCGTCACTGAAAGTAGAACGAACTGAAATAATACCAATGCATGAGAATTGAGCACGCGCTACCGGCGCACAGCTGAGGGGCTTTACGCGCCACAACTATCCCCCATATATCCGACATCACACAGCGGCTCACTGACGCCGGCCTGCCTTGGCACGCGCCGCGTTACCCGGCTCTGGCTGCGCGCCGACGCCGTTGCCGGCTGGCGGTCGGCCGGGGTGCTCACGTGTGGCACGACGTTGGGCGGCTGGCGGACTACGGAGCGCACCGTCTGCACCAGGCTGTCCATGGGGATGACGCGTATCGACGACACCAGGTCCACCAGGATCAGCTGCGCCTCGCAGAACTCCGGGATACTCTACCGCACCGCCGGCGAAACGGTCACAACCGGCACACACAGGGCGTAGATCAGTCTCTAACCGCCACCCCGACCCCGCACTATGTTGTGCATGGCCATACGCCGGTCGCTGCGTACACACGGCAACGCGATGGCAGCGTTACAACACGCCCGGCGCGTCACACCGTGATCGAGATGCGGTGTAGCCGAGGCTGTGCGCCAGGGTGCGGTGTAGCCCAGGCTGTGCGCCCGGGTGCGGTGTAGCCCGGGCTGTGCGCCCGGGTGCGGTGTAGCCCAGACTGTGCGCCCGGGTGCGGTATAGCCGAGGCTGTGCGCCCGGGTGCGGTGTAGCCCAACTGTGCGCCCGGGTGCGGTGTAGCCGAGGCTGTGCGCCCCGGGGCGGTGTAGCCCAGGCTGTGCGCACGGGTGCGGTGTAGCCCAGACTGTGCGCCCGGGTGCGGTGTAGCCCAGGCTGTGCGCCCGGGTGCAGTGTAGCCGAGGCTGTGCGCCCCGGTGCGGTGTAGCCCAGGCTGTGCGCCCGGGTGCAGTGTAGCCCAGACTGTGCGCCCCGGTGCGGTGTAGCCAGGCTGTGCGCCCGGGTGCGGTGTAGCCCGGGCTGTGCGCCCCGGTGCAGTGTAGCCGAGGCTGTGCGCCCCGGTGCGGTGTAGCCGAGGCTGTGCGCCCGGGTGCGGTGTAGCCCAGGCTGTGCGCCCGGGTGCAGTGTAGCCCAGGCTGTGCGTCCGGGTGCGGTGTAGCCGAGGCTGTGCGCCCGGGTGCGGTGTAGCCGAGGCTGTGCGCCCGGGTGCGGTGTAGCCCAGGCTGTGCGCCCGGGTGCAGTGTAGCCGAGGCTGTGCGTGCGGTGTAGCCCAGACTGTGCGCCCGGGTGCGGTGTAGCCCAGACTGTGCGCCCGGGTGCGGTGTAGCCCAGACTGTGCGCCCGGGTGCAGTGTAGCCGAGGCTGTGCGCCCGGGTGCGGTGTAGCCGAGGCTGTGTGTTCGGGTGCGGTGCAGCCGAGGCTGTGCGCCCGGGTGCGGTGTAGCCCAGACTGTGCCCCCGGGTGCGGTGTAGCCCAGACTGTGCGCCCGGGCGCAGTGTAGCTGAGGCTGTGCGCCCGGGTGCGGTGCAGCCGATGCTGTGCGTCCGGGTGCGGTGTAGCCGAGGCTGTGCGCCCGGGTGCGGTGAAGCTGAGGCTGTGCGTCCGGGTGCGGTGTAGCCGAGGCTGCGCGCCCGGGTGCAGTGTAGCCGAGGCTGTGCGCCCGGGTGCGGTGTGGCCGAGGCTGTGCGCCCGGGTGCAGTGTAGCCGAGGCTGTGCGTCCGGGTGCGGTGTAGCCAAGACTGTGCGTCCGGGTGCGGTGTAGCCGAGGCTGTGCGCCCGGGTGCGGTGTGGCCGAGGCTGTGCGCCCGGGTGCAGTGTAGCCGAGGCTGTGCGTCCGGGTGCGGTGCAGCCGAGGCTGTGCGCCCGGGTGCGGTGTAGCCGAGGCTGTGCGTTCGGGTGCGGTGCAGCCGAGGCTGTGCGTCCGGGTGCGGTGTAGCCGAGGCTGTGCGTTCGGGTGCGGTGCAGCCGAGGCTGTGCGTTCGGGTGCGGTGCAGCCGAGGCTGTGCGTCCGGGTGCGGTGTAGCCGAGGCTGTGCGTTCGGGTGCGGTGCAGCCCAGGCTGTGCGCCCGGGTGCGGTGTAGCCGAGGCTGTGCGCCCGAGTGCGGTGCTGACCTGTTTCTGCTGTCCGCGCAGTCGTCGCTCGTGCCAGGCGGCGGCCACGGCGGCCACGAAGCTGGCCGGGTGGTGGTGCGAGATTGGCGAGAGCAGCTCCAGCACCTGCTGCTTCACCACGCGAGGCACACCTAGGATCCAGGAGCCAGACTCCCTGAGAGGGGACGGGGGACAGAGCGACGTTAAGGGACCAACGTGCGAGGCTGCCCAGTGACGGAGCGCGCCGCCAGGCTCGGCACGCACACCGGACAGTGTCACCGCTCGGCCGACAGGACCAGCAGGCAGGACACGGCGCGTGATGGCCACGCGGCAAGAAGGCTTCGTGCGCATGTGTTGACCGCGGTTGCGCATGGAGTACCGGCGGGTTTCTCACAACAGCTGCAAAGCTACAGACTTTCAGGCGCCCATTACCTGTTGCAGACGTGGCAGGAGGGCGTGGCTGCGACCAGGTCAACAAGCCAGCTAACCTGAGCCTGGTACTGAACCGACCCCATCGTAATGACCCGACCTCACATGCTTGTCACCTACGCGCCGCCGTGCTGACCTGGCGTCGCCGTACCGACCTGGCGCCGCCGTACTGACTCGGCGTCGCCGTACCGACCTGGCGCCGCCGTACTGACTCGGCATCGCCGTACCGACCCGGCGTCGCCGTACCGACCTGGCGCCGCCGTACTGACCTGGCGTCGCCGTTCTGACCCGGCGTCGCCGTACTGACCTGGCGCCGCCGTACCGACCCGGCACCGCCGTACTGACCTGGCGCCGTTGCCAGTGACGGCGTGCCAGAGCGCAGCCGTGCCCACCATGATGCGCGGCAGGCTGTTGAGCAGCAGTCGACGGGCGTTCAGCAGCGACTCGGTGGTCAGCTCGCGGCTCGCCTCGTCCTGCCGGCGCCGCCACAGACGCCGCGTCACCTCGAGGCCGGCGCCACCGGACAGCAGCGCCGTCCCGTGACCCGCAGCAGCAGGAGCTCCAGCGGCACAGTGAGGTCGCCAGTCAGTGCAGCATCACACGCCGGCCCGCCTGGGCACGATTGTGGGCACGCTCTCCGCCAACACGTACCACCACTGGCCCGCACTGACCGTGGCGAGACCCATTGTCAAAGTTACCTGGCATAACGCGCGTAGCTGTGCTGAGACGGTCACACCTTGATGGCCACGAGGCTCTCACTGTTTGATGGGGTTTAAGAGCATTCCCAACGAGGGTCACACGTCGACACACAAGTGAGCCCAGCTTGGAAAATACACCAGCGGAGGGCGTCACCGCGGCGCCGGCCTCGAGCGGCCAGGGCCGGAGCAGCGGCACCAGCCCGGGCGGCGCGGCCGCGGCGTACGGACCTTGAGCGGCGCGGCCGTGGTGAACACGTGCAGCAGGTTGCTGAGCACTTGCGGCGCTGACGTGCCGGCCGAGTAGGTGTGCAGCGCGTCGGCAGCGGCCGCCGACTGCACGCTCGACGTCGCCTTCCCGGGCAGATGGCACGACACACGCTCAGACGCGCGCCCACGCATGCAGCGCCCGCGCCCGCCCACCGGGCCACCCCAGCCAGCCCGTTAGTCATACGCCGTAACCCATACTGGCTCGTGTTGGACTCCACTTCAGCGAGTCGATTTGTGATCCGACCCGAAGAGAGGATTCATTTTCAACTTGGAATTTCGGAAGCCTGGACAATGCAAGCCCAACGCCAGCCCGACCATGCACAATTAGCACGAGTATGAATGGATTCTAACCGCCCATTACAGCACCAATTGCTTTGAATATCTTTAAGATCATGTACCAAATAGTGACCTGTTTGGCTTAAAAAGACCAAAAGTATTATGAGTTCAAGTTTCATATTTATGCACAGTGTGAGCCCACAGCCAGACTAAGGCGGTCTGTTAATACCCCTGCTGGGGTACAAGTATCACACTTATGTTCTGCTCCAACTCACTTAAGCTGCACGCAGAGTAGTGCAATCTTTACTCCAGTAAAACTCGACTGATTCAGCAGTAAATTCTGGTTGTACACAGACACACGGACGTGGTTAGTTCCGAGACGCTGCACATGCTAGCATGATACCCGTACAAATGACAAAACAAGCACAATTCCCCGCCGTGCCGGCGGCTCCAATACCAGTAATCCTCAGCCGTGCCGGCGGCTCCAATACCAGTAATCCTCAGCCGTGCCGGCGGCTCCAATACCAGTAATCCTCAGCCGTGCCGGTGGCTCCAATACCAGTAATCCTCAGCCGTGCCGGCGGCTACAGTACCAGTAATCCCCAGCCGTGCCGGCGGCTACAGTACCAGTTACCATTTCTCCCGCCTTGGCGCATCCTCAGCCGGTGTTAACAGACACGCCCGCCAGCCATTTGTCCACGTCCCTCCAGTCGGGACGACCGCGGCCCTACAACTGAGCATGCCCGACCAGGCCCCCGGCCGGTAGTCCCACCTGCTGGCTGGAGTCGATCATGCAGAAGTGACAGATGACGGTCAGCGACTCCACCAGGTAGACCATGTGGTCAGGAGGCACGCAGGCGCCCGTCGTCAGCCTGTAACGGGGCGGCACTACCTGCCGTTAACCGCACACTGCACCGCGCTCCGCCCTGGCGCTGACGCGGCAGCAGGGGGCCGCCCGGCCCGACCGCACTCCGCACGTCTGTCGATGTCAGGCGGCCGCCCGGCCCGACCGCACACCGCACGTCTGTCGATGTCAGGGGGCCGCCCGGCCCGACCGCACACCGCAAGTCTGTCCATATCAGGCGGCCGTTCGGTCCAACCGCGCAGCGCACATCTATCGACGTCAAGAGGCCGCTCAGTCCTACCGCACACCACACGAATGTCGACGCCGGCGCCACGCCATACACACGTCACATAACGTTTTTTTCTGGGCTCAGGAAGCCTGCTCAAATCACATTTCTTTACACCTGGAAGTGCACCACTTCGCTGCAGACCTTGCGTACAGGCTGGCCTGACTAGCTGCAAGTGATGGCTTCGTCACTAGATCAGCGCGACACGGCAACGGTAAACGGTAAAACCGTAAAACGTCGCTTCAATGAATTCGTACGTGCCGCGAACTTCTGAGGCGTTAACTTGTTCCAAAACTGCATGACCAGCACAAGTCCCGGCTTACCCACCACTCTGAAGGTCGCACAGAGCTAGAGGCTGAGCTTGGCAAGCTGCCAGGTGAAAATCAAGTTCAGCAGATAGCCTCTTGTCGACCGCAAGTGAGTGGTTCCAGGGGCACCACAGTGCACCATATTATGAGATTAAGGACCCTCGGCCATTGATCCTTAGCCTGCCCCTGCGCCGGTGCGCGCTCGTCCTCGCCCTGACCTGTCCTCGGACTCGTAGAGGGCTGCCAGCTGCTCCACGTTCTGCACGACTTGAGTCACCACGGAGGTGACGATGTGTGGCAGCGGGCGGCGGATAAACGGCAGCGACGACGTCACCAACGACAGCCAGTGGTGGTGCAGGTGGCGGGTGTGGTCCTGGAGCGCGACAACGACAAAATATGTTACTCGTTCTGTTCTACTGCATAACAGCAGCGACACAACTGACATCCAGATATAAACGGACTACAGCGTGCAAATTATCGATTAATACCAATAATACTCAGTGTACCAACTGCTTTCAACTCGCGCTCTCCGCCCATCACGATCTACTGATGGGGTTTACCTCCTCTGCAACTGTACCAATACATAAAATATGCATTCGTACCTACTGCACGCTTTGCTGTCAACGCCTGTCGAATAAACAACGTGTCGCGGATAGTAAGCCCACTCCTGGATTTTCATTTCATTCTTCTCGCTGATTTGAGTGGGCAGGACAGTCACTTCCGTGACCGCCCCGCCGTCCACGCATGGCCCACCTGCTTGAGGGCGCCCGTGATGGCGTTGAGCAGCATGGGCTGCGCCGAGATCGGGTGTCCCGGGTAGAACTTGGCCGCCTCGGAGGCGGGTGGCGAGGCGACGCGGCCGGCCGGCTGCGCCGCCGCCTCCACGTCCGTCTTCATCTGGTCCGTCTGGTCCTCGAGGATGAGCAGCGCCAGCACCAGCCTGCCGCCGGACACAGGCGTCAACCGTCAGGGGACGCGGCGCGACCGGAGACAGGTGTCGCAGCGATGAGTCCCGACGTCGGCTGCAGTTCGCGCCAGCGCGAGTTTCGCGCAAATACGGAGTGGTATCCGTTCACCACCCCGGGTTACGGAGTGGTGAGTGCTACTAGTTTCGTCGAAAGCGGTTACACATTGCTGTGTTCGCCTCGAACACGGCGATACTAGCCAATAGGACGACGTCCTCACGGCACAACTTTCCGTTCGAGCAGCTCTGCAAGAGTACCGGAACGCACGACTACATCTAGCTCTTGCATCCAAACCGTTCAGGCCGTAAACCACCTAATTTTCTGTATTTCCATATCGGGGAAGGACGTTTGTCTAAGTGCAGGATGCGAGACCGACGGCAGCCCACAGCCACCCTCGGTCACCTGATAAACTGAATCTGCAGAGGCCCCATCAGTCACCTAAAGAGCTGAATCTGCAGCGTCCCATCAGTCACCTGATGAACTGAATCTGCAGCGTCCTATCAGCCACCTGATGAGCTGAATCTGCAGCGTCCCATCAATCACCTGATGAGCTGAATCTGCAGCGTCCCATCAGTCCCCTGATGGGCTGAATCTGCAGCGTCCCATCAGTCACCTGATGAGCTGAATCTGCAGCGTCCCATCAATCACCTGATGGGCTGAATCTGCAGCGTCCCATCAGTCACCTGATGAGCTGAATCTGCAGCGTCCCATCAATCACCTGATGAGCTGAAGCTGCAGCGTCCCATCAGTCACCTGATGAGCTGAATCTGCAGCGTCCCATCAATCACCTGATGGGCTGAATCTGCAGAGATCCCATCAGTCACCTAAAGAGCTGAATCTGCAGCGTCCTATCAGTCACCTGATGAACTGAATCTGCAGCGTCCTATCAGCCACCTGATGAGCTGAACCTGCAGCGTCCCATCAATCACTTGATGAGCTGAATCTGCAGCGTCCCATCAGTCACCTGATGGGCTGAATCTGCAGCGTCCCATCAGTCACCTGATGAGCTGAATCTGCAGCGTCCCACCAATCACCTGATGGGCTGAATCTGCAGCGTCCCATCAATCACCTGATGAGCTGAATCTGCAGCGTCCCATCAAGCACCTGATGAGCTGAATCTGCAGCGTCCCATCAGTCACCTGATGAGCTGAATCTGCAGCGTCCCATCAATCACCTGATGGGCTGAATCTGCAGCGTCCCATCAGTCACCTGATGAGCTGAATCTGCAGCGTCCCATCAATCACCTGATGGGCTGAATCTGCAGCGTCCCATCAATCACCTGATGGGCTGAATCTGCAGCGTCCCATCAGTCACCTAATAGGCTGAACCTGCAGCGTCCCATCAGTCACCCGATGAGCTGAATCTGCAGCGTCCCATCAGCCACCTGATGAGCTGAATCTGCAGCATCCCATCAGTCACCTGATGAGCTGAATCTGCAGCGTCCCATCAGTCACCTGATGAGCTGAATCTGCAGCGTCCCATCAGTCACCTGATGGGTTGAATCTGCAGCGTCCCATCAGTCACCTGATGGGCTGAATCTGCAGCGTCCCATCAATCACCTGATGAACTGAATCTGCATCATCCTATCAGCCACCTGATGAGCTGAATCTGCAGCGTCCCATCAGTCACCTGATGAGCTGAATCTGCAGCGTCTCGGTGAAGCTGAGAGACGCCGCCTGGCGGCCGGCCTCGGCGCCCTCAGTCGGCGCCGGCGGCCACACCTCGTTGAAGTCCATGATGTCCTCGGTGAGCGTGGTCTCCGCGCGGGGCCCGGCGCGCAGCGAGTGCACCGTCGACAGCAGACAGTTGAGAAGTGTCTTCTGTACCTGCACGGCACGCCGAGACGGACACCAGAAAGGTCAACAGCCAAGTCGGCGGCGCCACGGGAGCAACACCAAACAGCCGAGGGGCTCATGCAGCTGCAGGCGGTGTACCATCTGGACAAGGGCGCAGCGGGTTTGACAGCAGACATGGCAACAGGGTCTTTCTTGGCCGTCTTAAAGTAATCAGCTGCTACGAAATGTCAGGGGCGGGCTACCCTCCGATCACACGGAATCCAGTATCAACGTTGGAGTCACCCAGCGGTTTGTTCACTTGATTCAGCAGAGTGCAGGGAACTACACAACACCATTCGCTGTAGCCTCGTTGGCCGTGGGCAGCGTGGTCTGCCAACAGCGCTTGGACCCGACAAAGGCGCACCGTCGCAGCGCGCCAGACACAACCAGCAGCCAAGAGAGAACGGCCAGAGCGGCGGACTGGGGGTCGCAGCGGACCCGTCAGTGGACCATGCGGACAGCGGCGGCGTCTCGGGTCGGCCTGGCGGCGTTCGAGCTCACCTTACAGCGCTGGAGAAGGTCGGCGAGGTAGGTGGCGAAGCCGCGACCGCTGGACCGCACCACCGTCACCAGCTCGGAGAACATGGAGGTCAGGATCTCGGCCGAGACTATTTGTACCTGGCACAAACGCACACGTCACGATGAGCAAATCACTAAAAAAAAGCTAGCCAACTGTTTGCGGCAACCAGCTACATCAACCTGAATCAAAGCATTATGGAGACTGGCACTAAGATGGCAAAAATGCTCGAGAAGCACAGGGAGCAACAGTTACTAGGCATCCCAAACGCACGAGGCTGGTGTTCCGTGCCGATGGCATAGCCCGGGCCTAGCGCGCTCTGACCTGTCTGTTGGCCTGCAGCTGCTCGGTGCTGACGGCCGACGCCTCCAGATTGGGGTAGTAGCTGCGAACGAACTGCACGCACTGCGACATGACCACTTCGAGCAGCATGGAGCTGCGGTAGGCGGTGAGCGCCTCCGGGTGCGGCTCGCCGCCGAACCGCCGGCCCTGCACCGAGCGCCGATGACACGACAGCAGCAGCTGGATCTGGCGGCGCGGCGGCGGCGGCGGGTCAGCCGCGGCACACGCCGACGACGGTCCAGCCGAGGCGACACAGGGCGCGGGGTTCTGCCCGCGAGCACGAGGACCGCTCACAGCGTCACGTCACACGGGGACCACATCTGGCACGACACAATCGATCCCCAACTGTTCAGAGGACACATCACTGCCAAACGGCAGGTACTCCGGCGTCTCTTCCGGGCGGGTTTAAGGAATTCTCGTCCATCCTGTCTGTCGCCTGCGGTCGGTATGAGATTCCTCCCCTGGCCGTTCGGACCTGTTGCCCGCTGCGTCCGCTCTCGTTCTTTGGCTTCTGCCGCCCGTCCGGCAACACAGGTCGCCCCCTGGCTAATCCTGATGCCCCGGGCAGCCTCCACCGCTCACCTGGTGACTCCTGTTGCCCCGGGCAGCCCTCGCTGCTCACCTGGTGACTCCTGTTGCCCCGGGTAGCCCCTACTACTCACCTAGTGACTCCTGTTGCCCCGAGCAGCTCCCGCTGCACACCTAGTGACTCCTGCTGCCCCGGGCAGCCCCCGATGCTCACCTGGTGACTCCTGCTACCCCGGGCAGCCCCCGCTACTCACCTGGTGACTCCTGTTGTCCCGGGAAGCCCTCACTGCTCACCTGGTGACTCCTGTTGCCCCTGGCAGCCCCCGCTGCTCACCTGGTGACTCCTGTTACCGGCGGTCGGCGCGGAGGAGGAGCAGACGCTGGTGGTGGCTAGGCTGCACAGCGTCAGCCGACAGTCCGTCTCCATCACCGAACGGAGCGTCTGCAGCGCGTACAGGATCCGCCGCGAGTCGCACACCTGAACACCGAAGACACACACGGCCGCACGGTCAGCGAGGCTGGCACAGAGCGCCCCGGTGCTGCACTTACATACTGCCAGGCAAGCACTCGTACACACACCGAGTACGACAATGGTCTCAAAGATGACGGCTCATTGACGGCCGCGTACTGGGACGGTGCTGGTGTTCGTGTGAGAGCGCGCAATTTGCCGGTGCCGCGCAGTCAGCGCCGGTTATCGGCTGGCAGCGCCCGGCGACAGCACGCCGAGGCCGTAAATAATACATCAGCACGCCGAGGCCGTAAGTAATACATCAGCACGCCGAGGCCGTAAGTACATCCCTTGTGGCGCTCCGAGTTACGGCCGCAAGCGGGCGGGTTCGATCCTTTTAACAGCCGCGTTTCAGCTTCCCCGCTACAATGGGAGTGGCAGATCACAATGCCAATGACCAGAGTCGCTTCATGCACCGAGCAACAAGCCAGATCGCGGCGACCAGTGCGGTGCAGGTCCGCAACGAGGCAGAACGACCTGTAGCGACGATCAGAACGCGGAAAAATATTGCGTACGCACATTAAAACCGGTCGCAATAGTTTGAGAAATGAAACACACTTTGCACACGTTGACAAGCAAGTAGCCGCGCCAGAGGCCAGTGACAGTCACGACCATCTTTGCAGCTCGACTCTGCCAAATGAGCCATAACAAATTGTCTGCGCAGTGTGCCCGAGTCGAGATTATGCAGATTATGAGATTATGGAACATCTGAACGCACGTCATGCGCATGTACCTGCACGTCATGCACGTCATGCACGTCATACATCGCACGTCATGTACCTGACAATAGAGGAGCATGAAGGTATGCAGTGGGTGAATCAGCTTCTCTTGGCTTTGCTCCACGTCTTTCTTATCTGTCCATTTAGTTTCCTTGAGATTGCATTTATCGAGCGCGGCATCCACGATCTGGGAAAGAGAACAATAGAGTGGAAAAACAAACTAATCGTAATCATGAGAGTACTATCTACCCCATTTTCGACTAGCAGCTCTTATAGCACAACCACAACACAGACAAACAACGGACGTTGTTTAGATAGAAAAACAGCTTTGCCAGCAACGTCTGCTATGTACAAAGCAGAACGACGTCGAAATCGTTTAATTATGAGAAAACCATCACAAACGTATGGAGACTGGGAAAATATGAATTATTCATGCAACACTGACATTTTTGGCCAGCACACACGATTCAAAATCACAACCCGAGCCCCTCCCCTGTCACGCCGTCCCCCACGCGTGGCGGACCACCCAAGCACCCACACCCGGGTCATGACGCTCCCGCAGACGGCACCCAGCGCTGCTGCCGGCCGTACCTCGCCGACGATGCCGGCTGCCACCGCCACGCTCTCCTCCTGGGCGGCGAACAGGCGTGACAGACCCTCGAACGGTGTCAGCGAGCCGGACTTGTCCGAGTCAGCGAGCTCGGGCCGGCCGGACAGCGCCGAGTCGGCCGAGTCGTGGCTGGCGCGACGCTCGCCGACGAACCGGTGCACCGACGACAGGTCCAGATGGCGCGGCGCCGCCGGCTCTGCAGACTCGCCGTCGGAGTCGCCTACTGCACCCCCCCCGGGGCACGAAGGCCGGGTCAGACGAGGCAGCCACGCCGGTGGACGGCACCGGTCACCAACCACCGGTCAAGAGAGGGGCGGCGCCGGTGGACGGCTCCGGTCGGGAGAGGGGCGGCGCCGCGGGCACCACCGGTCAAGAGAGCGGCGGCGCCGGCGGACGGCTCCGATCGGGAAAGGGGCGGCGCCGCGGGCACCACCGGTCAAGAGAGGGGCGGCGCCGCGGACACCACCGGTCAAGAGGGGCGGCGCCGGCGGACGGCACCGGTCAGGAGAGGGGCTCCGGTGGACATACCAGTCGAGCGAGGGGGGGGGGGGCGCCGACGCACGACCTCGGGTCGCAGCCACGGGCAGACGGACGGACGACAAGAGTGAGTCGAGAGTGTGCAAGTGCGTACAGGTTCCCCGAAATAGGTTTTAATCCAAAGACGTTACTTCGAAGAACGCAACACCAACTGCTTGAAGATTCCGATCTGCACACGTGGTACCAAAGATGACATTAGCTATAACAGACTATGAAACCGTCCTGTCAACGTGACGTCAACTAACCCGGCCGCCATCCCACGCCTGAGCGGCCCACGCCGGGCGGGCCAGCACCTGTGATCGGGTTGACGAACACCGAGATGGGCTGCAGGAGGGCACTGCTGAGTGCGTGCGGCCCGGGCAGCCGGACGGTGCCGGCGCGCGTCTGGGGCGCGCCGCCCGGCCGGCCCAGCGACGTCAGCGCCAGCAGCTTGCGGCCGTCCCCGGGCCGCCGCGCCGGCCGGCCCGGCGACGCCTCGTCCGACACGTGGTAGATGACGTTACCTGTACCCATCGGCCGACGGGGCACGCGTTAGAAGCGATTACGATGCGCAGATAGCGTTGGTATGGGAGGAAGACGGAATTCGTGGTCTAGATGGCCATCGGAGTTAGAGCCTTAGGAACAACCAACGAACATGAGCCAGACAGACAGCACAAAGACAATGCAAATCAATATGCTTATCAGGATAAAGGCATTGCAAAAACACCCAATGCCTCACGGCACGGCACCCAAAAAGACTAAAGGTTAGAACACAGACAGCAAACTTATTTGAAAAATTCATGCAACCAACAAAAAATAGCAGGAACAAAACCGGCCGAGTGACAAAAGACACAATAGCATGAAGGCAAAGCAAAGTACAGAGGGGGGGGGGGGGGGGGACGGGGGAACCGGGGCAGCAGCCGTACCCTCAACAGAGCTGATGGCGTACACGCGGCCCAGGTCGTCAGCGTCGCCGGCGTCGGGCGGCTCAGCGCTGACGTTAATGTGCTGCACGCTGACGCGGGCCGTGCTGGGCGTCAGCAGCAGCAGCAGCAGCGGCTCCATGATCCTGCGGCGGCGCGCACCCACGCGTCAGGCTCGGTGCGGCGACGGCCGCCACGCAGCAGCCCAACACGGGGACAAGCCGGCTCCGAGCGGTCATGGCCAACGACACGGCAGCCGAACAAGCCGGCTCCGAGCGGCCATCGGCCGGCGACACGGCAGCCGAACAAGCCGGCTCCGAGCGGTCGTCGGCCAGCGACACGGCAGCCGAACAAGCCGGCTCCGAGCGGTCATCAGCCAACGACACGGCAGCCGAACAAGCCGGCTCCGAGCGGTCGTCGGCCAGCGACACGGCAGCCAGCATCGCGCGCATCTCCCCGCACAGCGCTCTAGCGCCGCGAAGCTGCAGCCGAACCGGTGCCAAATCTTAACGATGCGGTTTATTGCTGTTGTGACCTGCCGATGCAGGGAAACTCCTTCTAAGGTTTCATAATGCACTGCACATCTGAGGTCACTTAGCATCGACATCTCTCACGCCGAATGCCACGGGGGGGGGGGGGGGGGCAACGAAACTCCTCACCGGACGACGGGATCCAAGTCCGAGCCTCTCAGCCTCGCACACACGACCAAGAGGACGCCCCCCCCCCCCCCCTCCCCTTCTGCAACGAGTGGAGACACGCCAACACCACCGATCCACAGACTGCCGCCAGTATTTGTGCTGTATGGATCGGATACAAAATGTTCAACACGCACAACCGTGTGGAAAGGAGTCACCAGTTCGTTGCATTCACACAAAACACGTCTTAAGTGACGCTAAACGTGCTAAGCGTGCCTACGTGAAGCTATTTTATTGTTGTTCATTGGTGTTTTCGCGCGCGTCGACTGCAGTGGTCATTTTGCGCCCAACCTACCTGAAGCTAAGCTGAACATGCTAGACCTGTCTGAATCAACCATATTTACTCAGACGAAAACAAACCAAGAAATCGAATCGCGCCTCAGCGCGTCCCGTCACGGCGCGGTCGGGGTGTGCGGGTAGTGGGCGCCCCGTCCCGGTGCGGTCGGGTGTGCAGGCGGTGGGCGCACCTGGTGACGTCACCACGCTGGAGGGTGTGCGTCAGCCACGTGCGCGCCACAGAGTGGAGCGGCCCGCTGGGGTCGCGCAGGCTGTCCAGCATCAGCAGCAAGCAGCGGTCAAACGAGCGGCTGATGTGGCGGCGCGCCGACACCTCCCGGCTCAGGTGCCACACGATGGCAAACCGGCTGAACGCGTCCATCCTGCCGATGAGGTCAGGTCGCGTCAGGTCAGGGCAGGACATGGCACGGCAGGGCATGGTAGGGCAGAGCAGAGCAGGGCAGGGCAGGGCACGGCAGGGCAGGGCATGACAGGGCAGGGCAGGGCAGGGCAGGGCAGGGCAGGGCAGGGCAGGGCAGGGCAGAACAGGGCAGGGCAAGGGCGACGGAGACCAGCACACGACTCTAGTGCCACATAATCAAGACCAGCTGAATATTTCAGTACGGTGAAAATGGGACTCGTTCGTGAGACAAGTGCTGCATACTCGGATACAAATCACCAACGGAAATCGCTGCAGCGACCTAACATGGCCGAAGGTCATGAGATGCTCGCTCGACCCCATCTTAGGGCGTCTTTTTTGGGTCACTTTTTGGTGCTCATCTCCGTGTACCCCCCCCCCCCCCCCACACCCCTGTGACCGACGAGGTCGCTTGCTCACCTGACGCTGAGGTCAGCATGAGTCATCTCGGCGGCCAGCTGGTTCTCCACCAGCTGCGCGGGCAGCAGGCTGAGCATCAGCTGCATGAGGTCGACGCAGGGCAGGTGAAGGTCGGGCCGGTCCGGCGACAGTAGCCTCCAGAGGCGCCGCGTCAGCAACTGCCCGACACGGCAGCGCCAGCCACCGTCAGCTCACCGTTTGCCATCGCCATAGCGGAAGCCATACGAACGGGGAACAACAGCACCGTTCAAGTCCATTGGGCGGAATCCAGGGCGCATGATTCAAACGAGGTGTGAGGGTCGAGCTCGACGACACAGAAAAGTGCGCGACCAGTTGGACACTAGATTAGAGACGACAGCTGCAGCAGAAACGAGCCAGACCTCACGCAAACATGCGATATCGACCGAGCGCGGCTAACGCACAAACGGCCCTGGTACGCACTGCCATGACGTAGTAAATGTGTCGGGGCAAAAACGTACACCGCAGCAGCAGCACACGTGCCGGATCCGTTCACAGGTGCGGCGGCGCAGCACGCCCACCTGCGTGACGACCGTGTCCTGGAGCAGGCAGCGGTGCTGCTGGACGGTGAGCAGGGGCCGCACGGCGGCGCTGGCGCCGGGCCGGCCGCCCACCGAGCTGACCAGCGCCACCAGGTCCAGCAGCGTGGAGACGGCGCTCAGCTGGATACCGCACTCGTGCGCCGGCCGCTGCGCCGGCAGGAAACAGGCCACCGCCAGCAGCGAGAGCAGCCAGGCCGGCAGCGACGACACGCCCTCCGACTCTGGACAACGGTACCCAGTCACCGGCAGCCCACTGTGTGCTGGGGCACGGGCCACGGGCGCACGCCACGCTCTCACTGCTCACGCGTACGCCTCGATCATGAGAAAACAGGACCTGGCGCTGCAGGACGCGTGGCAAACACGATTCAGCACAAACGAGCGATGCACGAGCGTGGTAGTGCGGTGGGTTGGTACCAGCTGCAACCCTGATGGTGGCAAGCATGCCAGGCTGCCAGGTGTCCACAGACTCACCCGGTCCATGCTCGGCCGGGCGAGAGGGGAGCAGTGACCAGCGACTCACCGGGCGACGGCGGCGGCTCGTCCGGCTCGTCCAGCGCCGGGAACGAGGAGAGCACCACCAGCAGCTGGCAGGCGCTGCGGAAGGCGGCCGCGTACTGGTCGGCGGCCGGCGCCAGGCGCACTTGGTACGCCTCGGCCTGTCGCAGCGCCGTCCGCACCTGCTCCTGCTGACGACATGGCGGCGCTGAGCGAGTCTCGCTTCTGGCGGCCGGGCTCGCCACATCACACGGACTGACTGAGACACACGGCGCTGACCACCGGCTTGCGACTATTCAGCGATAACTAAATATAAATGTAGACTCCTATCTGGCAGCTTTCCAGCGAAAATAATCCGGAATGAAGCACGGCTATAACGCAAATGCTTAATGAGCAATAAGCCTCCTAAATCCTGTCAGTGACAAGTGACACCTGTAAGCCTCACACAACCCGCGGTAATCGGCTCGTCATGGGGACGGGCCTGTCCCGGCGCCCCGGCACGTGCCTCGCTGGAGGGTGGCGGCCGCAGCTCCGCTGGCTCCGCTCCGGCGCCGGTCACCCAGCGGCCCAGCAGTTGTCGCAGCTCGCCGTCGCGCTGGGCGGCGCAGGCGCGCGCCGGCAGCGCCAGCCGGCGGCGGCACTCGTCCAGCGGCGTGTCGGTCGCCAGCAGCCGGGCGCGCACCAGGCTGGCGAACAGGTCGGCGAACAGGCGCGAGCAGTCGTGCACGGAGCCGGGCGGCGGCGGCGGCGGCGCGCCGGGCGGGCTGCGCGAGCGGCGCACGCCCGGCTGCACCTTGTCCAGCACGGTGCGGCAGATGTCGAGCGAGCACGTGAGGTCGGCCGGCCGCAGCGCGCCCACCGCCTCCGTCAGCGTCACGCTGAGACTCTGCAGCACGCAGCAGACGAGGTCCGGCAGGTGCTCCGTCTGCACCTCGACACTCGTCTCGGTCGAGATGACGTCCAGCAGGAAGACGATGAGCGCGCAGCACTCGGCCACGTCCGGGTCGCCGCCGCCGACGGCCAGCACCGGCCCGCCGTCGGCCGCCGGCGCGTCGACGTCATCGTGGGCAGAACGTACTCGGCGGCAGGCCTCTCCGTACTTGACCTGGCGCAAGGAAAACCGGCCACGGCCCGTGTCAGCACCGGTGCGTGCGGTCTATCACCGCAGTTGTCCGTAATGTTGCAATATCCCAGATAACGCTAAAATGCTCAGAAAATGCCCAGACTAGCTGCCAACAATCTCGGCGCTGACGAAAGCCCCGGGTGATACAGTGGACGTCATACTGGATACATTTAAATGTATCTTAACCAGTTCCCAGCTATCATCACCGTAAAACCGACACCCAAACATAGGCCGTCGCTAACCGCCCACCTTCATGTAGTCCCAGACGTAATGGGGTTCAAGGGCGCCGAACAGCAGGTTGGCCGTCTTGACCAGGTCCTGCTGCTGCTTGTTGCCGTCGCTGCTCTGGCTCGAGCGGGAGCTAGAGTCGGCCGGGCGGCGCGTCGACGGCGAGGCCGCTGAGCCCGCCGACTGGTAGTTGTGGTACAGCGCCCTGCAGCATCGCCCGACGCCGCGCCGTCAGTGCGACGACGGCAGGGGTGACGACCGATGGTCGGGCTTCGCAGCGCCGAGCCACGCGACAGCACACCTCAGACACCGTACGGCATGTGAGAGCCTGGTTAGAGCGCGACAGCATTTTCAGTCAAAAGTCAACTCGCATACCACCCAGCAACATCCTTGATGGAACGCTTAGACACTTGCAAACAGCCATCTCCACCTGCATCGTGGGACAACTTCTCCGATGGCGGGTTACCGTCCGTCTGCGGCCGTTACCTGACGGCGGGTTAACATCCGTCTGCGGCCGTTACCTGACGGCGGGTTACCGTCCGTCTGCGGCCGTTACCTGAGCACTTCGATCATGACGTAGTCGAGGAGGGGCGGCCCGATCTCGGCTTTGTCCAGCAGCGATATAATGAGCCGGTACGGCCGAACGTCTGGGCTGGCCGACACAGAGCTGGTCCACAGGCAGTTCTGGCCGCATACAAACAACAGAGATGGTTCACAGACAGTTCTGGCCGCATACAAACAACAGAGATGGTTCACAGGCAGTTCTGGCCGCATATAAACAACATAGATGGTTCACAGGCAGTTCTGGCCGCACACAAACGACAGAGATGGTCCACAGGCATTTCTGGCCACACAGACAACAGAGCTGGTCCAGGCAGTTCTGGCCGCACACAAACAGAAATGGTTCACAGGCAGTTCTGGCCGCACATAAACAACGGAGATGGAACACAGACAACAATGACCACACAAATGCACACAGAGCTAGTGCCGCACGCGCACGCACGCACGCACGCACGCACGCACGCACACACGCACGCACACACACACACACACACACACACACACACACACACACACACACACACACGCCCGCCCGCCCGCGCGCGCACGCACGCACGCACGCACGCTCGCACGCACGCACGCACGCACGCACGCACGCACGCACGCACGCACGCACGCACACACAGCGACATGGCCAGGAGACAGCAGGCAGACGGGGTGCGGGCGGTGCGACACGACGGCGGCTAAGCGCCATCCACCATCGGTAAACACACCCAATGACATCGTTTAAAAAAAGATGAGCACTAGAAACTCGATACTCCTATAGCTCGGCCGTGTGTCCCCTTCTGCCCGCTTTCAGCTGGCGGGGCTGACGTCACGAGCCGGCTGGGCGGGGGTGGCGTCCCCACCCGGCCGGCCGGGCGGGCGGGCGGGTGGCGACGGCTCACCGTGATAGCATCGATGGCCAGCGGCCGGGAGTAGGCGTCGAAGTAGGCGGTGCCCTGCTCGCCGGACGCGGCCGAGGTGACGCTCTCGGTGCGCTTCACCACCGGGTTCTCCGAGGGCAGCACGCTGACGTCCACCTCGGAGCCGAGCAGCCACGAGTACAGGCGCCTGCCGGGCCGCACGGCCGGGTCAGCCGGAGGTCACCGGGTGCCGACGGCAGCCGCTCGCCACCTCAGCCAGAGGTCAACGGGTCCCGGACCACAGCCGCTCGCCGTGTCAGCCAGAGGGCAACGGGTTCCGGACCACAGCCGCCCGCCGGGTCAGCCAGAGGTCAACGGGTCCCGGACCGCAGCCGCCCGCCGGGTTAGCCGGATACCGGCCACGGTCGATGACGCAGGCACGCACAAGATACGCCGGGGGTATCCGACTGCCACTAAGCCCGGCAGTTTCAAGAAACGTCAGCACAGTAACGCCATCAGCAAAACCGCACCTAGTGATGGACATGCCTCAGGACAGGGTGACAGTTACGGCTGAGGGAGATGTTTCGAAACAACAGCAACTGTATACATGTATCCCCATGAGACGGTGCAGCCGGATCTGAGCAGTGCGCACCCGCAGTACCTGTTGAGTGACATGTCCCGGCGCAGCAGGACGGCCACGGCCGCCGTCACCAGCCGCACCAGATCGGAGCGGATCAGCTGACTGTTGTGCATCGGGAAGGCGGCCAGCAGCAGGTCGAGCGTGAACCGCTGCACCAGCACGCTCGAGTCCTGGACGGCTGCGCACAGCGCCCCCACCTGGCCGAGCACCGGCGCGACGCACAGTCAGCGGCGTCAGGCCGCGGCGCGCGCCACCAGACGGCGGCGAACGCCCACCGCACCTCGAAAGACATGAAGCCGAGCGAAGGGTCGTGGAGTGGAGTGAAGTGAAGTGGGGAAGTGGAACGGATGAGGATGTCGAGATCTTTCCCATTTAGCCGCACGAGTCAGAATCTAACAGCCTGTCGTCGGTCTCGGAAGCCGGTAAAATCAGCAAGCCATCGCGGCGGCTGGTGACACCCACGTCTCAATACACTCACTAATTTTAACTGCTACGGTTACGATGAGATGCACCGTTGACAAGCTTTGTCAGCTCGAAATCCGTCAAAAAAGCATGATCCGCCGCAGATCTTTTTCAAACCACTCGCTTTGCACGATGAAAAATTGGCGTTTAGCCTTCAAAAGATGTTCTGATGCTCAGTTAGGCGGCAGATAGGCTGCCGGGAGACTGACGGTGACGTCCAGGTCGGTGCCCATGATGAACAGCTGGTCCTCCATGCTAAGCTTCTTGTTGAACTTCATGAGTGTGAAGCTGATGGCCGGCAGGCGAATGGCCGGGTTGCAGAGCACGCAGTCCCAGAGGCAGCCGAAGAAGAAGTCCGTTTCAGCGCCCTCGGCCACCCGCTGTATCAGCGCCGCCGTCCTGCGCGCCACGACCATCGGACAGCCGTGACGCAGACGAACCCTCGCCACGCACGCCTGCCTGCGTTTGGCGCACGTTCGCGTCCGAAAGGCCGACCGGCCGCATCACTGTTATCAGAGGCACGCTACCACAGCCACAGTCGTTATCAAGATCAGGCAGGCTCACAGACGAGCGCAGCGCAGGTGTTCCATGCCTTCAGCTCGCCACAAACGCCTCGGCCGGGCAGCAGGCCACACACCTGGCGCGGCGCCTGACTCACCTGTCGAAGTAGTCGGAGCCCTCGTCCAGGCCGGGCAGGATACCGCTGAGGAAGCCGCGCAGGCCGGGCCGCAGGCGGCGGCCCAGCGGCACGAAATGCGTCTCGTAGATGGTGAGCAGGGCGGGCCGTACGTTCATGGCGGCGTGTCCGAACAGCGGGAACAGACCTGCGCGGTCCGACGCCACGTACGCCGGTCAGGGACAACACCCGCCACAGAGTCAGCACACCGGCCACAAGGTCAGCAAACCGGCCACGGGATCAGCACACCGGCCACGGGGTCAGCACACCGGCCACGGGGTCAGCACACCCGCCACGGGACGCCACCCGTAAGGAATGCAAGGCATTATAGAAGAGATAACGTAAGGAAATCCAATTACGCGTGCACCATATGAAAACTTTGACTGGCTTGTGCTTCCAGACCTGCTTACAGACCAACAGCACACTACCGACGCTATGCAGATTTCCATCTGCACGAACCTATGCACAAGACCAGACCACAACAGCCCGCGTGTGCGTGGCAGGGCGAGCAAGAGCCAGCCTCCGCACTTAGGTCGAGACACGTAGTAAGGATAGCATGCGCTCTGATCCATTTCGGCCACAACTCCAAACGGCGGACCTGAATCGGGCATGACGTCTTTGTCGCTACAAGACACCGATGCAGGCCGATCAAGCAACATGCGCACCCGCAATATACAAGCGGCGCTTGGAACAATCAAATGAATGCGTCGCCTGCCAGCTGAGCCCGGTCAATACTGCGCCCGTACACGATGATACGGGTCCACCGCTGATCAACCAACCACGGTAACATGAAACCAACCACATATGGCTGCTGGGTAAGGACACTTAAGTTTTGTCATGCCAATGGCCGTCGCCAGCCGTAAGCCAGCGTGAGCAGTCGCTCTGTGGGGACCGGGCTCCAAACGCCTCCGCGGCGCCGCCGCATCGGCGCGTCAGTGACAGCCGTGCCGCAGATGGGCACGCGCTCCGGCAGCTGCCGTTCCAGACGTAAACAGGGCGCGGGCGTGGGACCGCAGCTCCACTGGCGCCCGGCACAGCTGGCACACGCGACCGGCGGCGCGCGCGCAGCTGGCCGCGGCCGGCGCTCCGGCTGCCGGGCATGTACGGCGCCAGGCTGTCCGCAGAGGGGCGGGCGGGCTAGTATTGAATCATGTGGCTATCGGATACGCAGTCATGCCGCGCGTGAGTGGAGTAGTCTGATGCAGACCTGTATTCATTTATTGGCGCATGGCTGCAAGATGACAGCGCTCCTCCGGCCGAGCGCCAGAGAAAGACCGGGCAGCGACCCTATTTTCGATCCGGGATAACCATTACCAGACTTTGCCCTCAGCAACCGATCAGTCGGCCTTGGCCGCCAGTTTGAGCATGAATGACATCGTGTTTAGCCACATTCAAGACCGTGAGAGACGGCCAACAGACGCCGTCACAGTGACGCGTGCAGTGCCCTTGGCAACCAGGCCATGCTGGTCTGAGACCGTGGGCTCCCCGCCACACCTCCCCGCGCCGGGGAGGCAGCGACGACGGGGGGGGGGGGATCCCACATATCCGACCGACGACGGGAAGAGAACCAGCCCACCGCCGGCCAACGGGAGGGGGCGGGGACAGACCGACGGATGGGGGAGGCACTTGGTGCCGTCAGCACTGACCGGCGCTGTAGATGAAGAGCTCCTGGCTGAGCCGGTTGGTGCCCATGCACTTGAACATGATGTCGTAGCACTCGAGCGCCTTCAGATGGACGCCGCTGGGCAGCGCCGGATGCATGCACTGCGCCAGCCGCTTACTGATGACGATGCGGCTCGGGATCACTGGGTACTTGATGTTGGAGACCAGCACCTGGCGCCGCCCGGCACAGTTACGCTCGTGCCATGACACGAGGTCTGATGACTTGGTTTTTTTTTGGGGGGGGGGGGGGCGCATCGACTGCAGGATGTCATACCGCACCAGGCACGAGGCCCGACCGGCCGCACCTGGCCTGTGGCGCGAGACGAGACCGGTGACGGTCGTAGCGGCGCCAGCAGCTACCCACACACACGGTTTACGGAACGTGCCAAATCACACTAATATACATGATTTTGTAAGAACGCAATGTCAGCTTCGATGTGTTGCTACTGTTCTACTTTATCAGCGGGCTAAAAACGTTCATAAAAGACCACAGGCACATTCTATCCTTTTTCATTCAATAGACAGCTATAACCTGTTACCAAAGAGCGCACGCGCTTTTCGCTTTATTGCTATCAAAAGAAGCATTAGTGACCCCGAAACTTCACTTTCTTACTTTAACGCAACGCGTTAAAACGGCGGTCGGGCTGACCAACCTTGTTGAGCTTTCCCAGGGCCGAAATGAGATCCGCCCACTCGCTGGTGTACTCGAAACTCTTGAGCGCCTTGTCGACCGCCGCGATGTACTGGCGGTACTTCGAGTCGGCGCGCAGCTCGTACTCCTCCAGCGTGACCGAGGCCATGGCGGCAGGATACCGCGGCGGCTCCACTCCTCAGAACAGGCCAGCCGCCGGCCGCCGCCGCATCAGCGCTGCGGTATGCGCGGGGTCGTCAGGGAGCCGTCGCGGCCGCACACGCAGGCCAGCCGCCGGCCGCCGCCGCATCAGCGCTGCGGCATGCGCGGGGTCGTGCACCGCGTATGCACGTCAAGGGGCCGACGCGATCGCGTGCACGTGGGGCGGCTCGCGCTGGTGCTCATGGCACGAAATGGGGTACAATGTCTACGGAAAATAGCCAGGTCACAATCGCGAACGAAGTTGACGTAAGGTATGGTGTGTGGTCCCGACTTCACCCAACCATGCCTGACTCACAACAGGAGAAAACTCAATCAGCAAGACAAAAAAAAAAACTGATACAAAAAGGGTAACTGCATGCCTTGAGTCACACAGCATGTTCACACATGTCACATTCAGCTACATATCTTGTCACACCACACATATATTCATACACTGCACTGCACATATTTGTATTTGGTATTCACATCCCAGCTGCTTTTCATACACAAGGAAAGACAAAGGCAGTGCTCAGTGAAATACATGCTGGCTGTTGATCACATAATAGCTCAACTCAACACAAGTGATGGCAGCATAAACAATGATAATGGCTCATGCTACAGTATTGGAATGACATTCCTCACTGAAAAGGTTTTTTATCCATCATTGACATTGCCCTCTCACCCCTGTGATAAATGCATGTCTGTCATGTTGTGTCTGTGAATGCTGTCCCCAGTATTTGGGCATGTTAAATAAACAAAAATACACTGTATACAAGTAGGGATGACAAGAAAACAGTTCTAAAATACTTCAGAAGTCTGGCAAACTTCTGAATATGGATGTTTCTTCACAAATTGTGTAAACAGTTTCTAGGAATGGGTTTGAGATCATTGTCCTTGCTAGGCATACATTTTTTTTGCAGAGATCCTGACAATATTACTTCACCAGAGCAATCCCAGCTCAATGTGCAATTTTGACAACATATTTAAGGGTACCATGCAGTTTAAGAAACGGCTGTGCTACGGCATAGTGACCTTTAATGGCCAGATGCCAGGTGGTGATATGACAAGCAAAATATTTGTGCACATCTTACCAGACACAAATTCACAATCTGCGACCCAATTGGTCAGCTGTTTGTAGCTTTACTGAGTTATAGGGATGGCAAAATAGTAACACAACAATAAGTACCAATACCCATACAAAATTGCAGGGAAGGATTGCACTGTGCACAATTGCACTGTGCATGGGGGGGGGGGGGCTTTACAGTGAGCTGGCTTTGGGCTGAACTGTAAGGAATTATGACCAGTCTCCAAAAACATACTAACAGATGGGCTTCCATTAAATTATGACCAGTCTCTAAAAACATACTAACAGATGGGCTTCTTCTTAAAATTGGTCATTTTCTCTCAAAATGGCTGAGGAGGGGAGGGGCTGAAACACCAGTTGAGGGAAATAGGGGCTGGAGTGTCCCTGACTGACTGAGGGGCTGGGACCCTGGCTGTGGACACAGTGGAGTAAATTTTGGGCACATCCATTGAAGACCACAAGCCACAGACATTTCTAACCTACAGCCCAATGATGGATCTGAAACATTAGTGTTTTGAGCCAGAAAGTTAAACATCACTACCAAGTAAAATGTGCAGGTTCAATGTATCTAAATATACCTAGGATATAAGTGGAATATGATATAAGTAATCTGCATGCATGCAAACAAACAAAAGCATGCTGGAGTTATCATGAAATATCTAGGCAAGAGAGAAAGCACAGTTTCAAATAGGACCTACCCTCATGTCCCATGAGCCCAGCTCCCAGGGGCCTCAAATAAGAGGCTTCATGATTTATGAAAAAATACAAGAGCAAAACCACTTGGTGCCCACTATGCCCAAGTGTCATATGTGACGACTGGCACAACTGAAGGCATCTGTGAAACAAATAGTTCAAACCCAAAATGAGCCCAATCTAGTCAATGATGACTCCTTCCCAGTCGCAGGCTGCTAAGATGCCTTTGAAAACAATGAGGTAAAATCATAACATGTTTTACATACTCAAGAGGCAATGAGTTATGGAGACAATTGGTTAGATGGCCAATGTGCCTCCAAGGCAATGGTGGGTCTGTAGGGGATTGGGTGTGGGACCATCAATGTACACATAAGGTGAGGACAGCATTAGGTAATGAGGATTGTGCACAGGATGATCAACATACCCAAAAAAATTATAACACACTACATTGGTAACAGTCACAAGCATATATTAGGCACCTATCAACACTCATTCAAATAAAAAAACTAAGGCGCCAGCACAAACAGGCACAAAACAAACAACTCACCTTTGACACCAGTCGATTGTGCAGCGGCACTCCAAAGTTAATCGAACATAAGACAACTGTCATGTGTAGCCCTAAAAATCACAGCTTACTCCAACATTTGACAACCGCCGCACGACTTGTGCAAGCCCGTATGTAGGACAGTTCACACATAAGCTAGATTTCAACAAACACCGGCTTGTGCTAGACGCGGTCGTTCTAAGTTTTCGCTGGACCAACGCGGCTTCTCCGCAGCAAGAGGTCTTCTTGCGTAACACGTAACCGTAATACCAACGCACGGCGTACGAGCCTCGAGCTTATGCCTGCATCCAAATATCCGAGGAACAGCGGAGGGACAGCATACGGCAGAAAATGCGCACCGTATACAAATTAGCTTCATGAGCTACCATTTCTAAAAAATGTACGATTAGACTAAAATTGCCGGCGTGGAGTAAGAGTCAAATGGTCCGTGCACGAGTACACAGGCGCTTGCGGAAGCAGCTGACCACTCAGGGCATGGAACATTTCGTCTTCGACAGGGGCTTCATTCGTTTTCAGTTGGGCTGGGCTCCAGTCCACGACTTTCATAACAAAATTGATCAAAATTCCTGTTTTGTGTATTGAGTATAAGCTTATGTGCAGCCATTTACCACATCCATAGTTCGCACGCTGTGGATGTGGTAAATGGCTGCACTGACTGCTGCCAAAATGACTGCTGCTGTGGATGCACACCAAAGTCAAAATCATTACTCAACCATCCCAGCTCATTTACGAAGTTACACTCCTGACGCGGAGGCATCCATGGGGTGTATATGAATGGTAGATAAGCATCCCCCAGGAATGGGAGAAGTGTTTTTTCATGCGCCGGATCTAGATGCAATCGCGTTTTCGCGAATTCTGCGTGATATCACCCATGGTCCCAGGCAGATATCGCAAAAATTATCTTCTGGCAACAAAAAGTCAAATTTCCTCCAAAACCCTGCCAATTCCGATCAAATTTCTGCCAAAACGCCAACTATTTGGCGCAACCCTCTCAGCTCAGGGGAAGGGCATGGCCTCGCCGCCCGCCCCCTTGACTACGTCCCCGCATGTTCCTCCACTCATCCGGTGACAACGCTCATTGGCGTGCACCTCGCATGAAGTGCAGACGTAAGCTAGGAGCAGCGTGAACTGCAGTTATGTAGGCCTGCTACAGATTGTGCTCATTCTAGACCGGAAGCCGGTCGTAGGCGAGGAGATCCATACCGCATTCGCCGCGGCCACATCAGTGAAAGATCTCCGACTTCGCTCGGGTGTAGGTGGCAACCGACTGACGCTAACAGTAAAGTGATGTTATCCCTGCGTCCGTTAGATAGTACCTAAAAAGAAACCCAATGCTCTAGATAAAGAGACGAAAATAATCAGGAAGTCAATGAGCATCAACGGAATTATCAGGAACTGAACGAGTTTCGCTTGCCGTACCGCCGCAGAACTTCCGGGTCTATGGCATGCGGTACGGAAAATGAATGAATAAACGCGATCTCAATACAACCAAGCCGGAAATATCCTGTACCTGCACACGTCTGGTGTGCTTTCAAACGGCATGGTTCGATAAGCCAGCTTGTCAAGCGCACTCCCAGTGCAGAGATCGTCAGAACAAGACATGTATTCCAGAAATCAGCCATCGCACATTTGTGTGCAAACACCAAATAACAGACATGCAAATGTTAAACATCCAATTCAGAGAGCATCATAATATATCATCCATATCGGTCAAAAGTACGATTACGACGGGCAGCAGGCGTTAAAACAACGTATGATTTTCCCATTAAGAAACACCAACCGAACCAACACCATACACAGCAAAAGAAAACCGTTTGGAGTGTGATTTGTTCGACAGGTGTATAATCTGGGCGCACACAAATCTGACACACGATGAGATATGAGCGAACAGCACACGATTTCGCTATTCATATATCACCACTCACGTTCAAGCAGCCTTTTGCCAATAGCACAGGACGAAAGTTCCCTTTTCATGTCACTAGCCCAATGAGCAAAACAGGCTCCACACACCTCCACCAGTAAAAATGTCGATGACCCAGCCTTAAGATGACTAGAACTGACACGAGTCACGGCACACCCACGTCGCAAACGCTGGCTTTTTCGCCCCTTCTAGTTTTTTTTGGAAAGACAACTCTGCACAATGCAACAGCCTCGTTGGTAGACACTGGTCAGACCCGAAGTTCTCCAAACACCGCCCTCGGATTCCCACTCCCGGAATGAATTGGGATCATCAACAAGCCGCGTCGCGACCGGCGCGGTAACAGCGGTGGGCACACGACATTCAGTTAACGAAGCGTGGCAACAGACTGGCAGCGCGGGACCAATCACGGCGCCGGGCCAGCCCGACCAATGGCTCGCGATCCGGCCAAGAAAGATGCCTTCCCAAGACAACGAGCGTCTCAGAGGCCGGGGGCGCGTCTGTGAGCCGGTCTGCGCGACCGTCCGACGGAAGGCAGCCAGGTGCGAGGTCTGTCGCCCTCTCCTGATCACGACCTGAGCCGAACGAACCAATGTCGCGGCCACCGGGCCTTCGGACGTCGCACGGCTGCCGTGGCCACGCGACCGACCGCGGTCCAGGCGGCGTCACATCCGCACAGCTGACCCGCCCCAACCCCGACACCGGACGGAACCCCACAGCACCACAGCAAACACCGCAACACACAGGTACGCCACATATCGCCGGCTCGGCCGACACGTCGCCACCATCGGAGAGCCCGCACGAGCCGTCCGACGGCCCAACACCGAGGTCGCCGCGGCAGACACGCTCATCAGCGATTTACCGCTCCCCAGCCGCCACACGCCACTCGGCGACCTCCCAACGGCAGACACGGCCACGGGGCGCGATGAGCTCGCCGGACGGGTCACGCTCTCTGGCGATTCGACGCCACCGACGCCACACGACACTCATCGAACACCGGCGGCGGAGCGAGACATGGCGGGGCGCACAGGCCGCTCCGACACGGCCGGGCGGACCAGTGTTCACACGCGCCACGCCGCCGCCGCGGCTCACCGCGACCATGCTCCGTGTCACACGGGACTTTATGGCGACGAGGACAGCTGTTCACAGGACGACGGTCCGCTACACCGTGCGAGCATCCCCGACGCGCCAAATGTGATGACGGACATGGGAATGGCGCAATGACCAGAACCTTGGAAGAGAGAAGTGGAATGGAATGGAATGGAATGGAATGGAATAGTGAGCAGTTGGCATGGTGGGCTGCTCCCTACATGTATTCAAATGCACACCAGACCAGAAATATCGGCCGACGATGGCTTGCTGCAGCTGGGATCGATCCATGCGCGCAGCAACAATGGCCCTGATATTTTATGTACGACGCACACATGCCACAAACTGGAGCGCGATCACACGTTTTCAGTGATGAAAACCGACCGGCCACTGAAACGGGGACTAAATGCGACGATAATGCGGGAAGCAGATACGACCATTACCACATATTATGTGCGAAAAGTAACCTTACGTTCAATGCTCGCAGAAAGTGACGTCGGATATAAAAGTATATTTGGTTTGCGTTATCGGTTTGATAACGAACGCACACATGTACGCTATGGTCATCGCCGGGTAAATTAATAGGCCGCACACTCTATCCGCGTCCGAAACTCGCTGTCTTTGGTATCTTTGGTCACTTACCGTGCGAGCTTAACACAGTCCCGTTTTCAACATGGAAACGGTGACTAGACAACATCTGACTCGCCTGAGAGGCTCGCACAGCCAAGAGCTCACAAACCGCTTCGCCCGGCCGCCCCCTGCCGCGCACCGCACCGCCAGAGCGTTACCGCAGCTCCGCCACGGCGGGGCCGGGCGGGGCGGGGCGGGGCGGGGCGGGGCGGGACGCCGGTGGTCTCAAACGCCGGCCGCCGGCTGGCCGGACTCTGAGAGCAGCCGCTCCACCTCCTCCAGCTCGTCGTCGCTGCTGGCCGACGTCGGCACGCGCTCGACCCGGCCGTGCGTCCGGTGTACCGGCGAGTACCTGCCGGCAGAGGACGCCGTCAGTCGGCAGGTGAAGCAGTCAGTCGGAAGATCACGCCGTCAGTCGGCCGAGGACTTCGGTTGGAAGATGACACCGATAGTGGGCAGAGGACGACGTTAGCCGGACGACCACGCCGTCAGTCGGCAGAGGACGCCGTCAGTCGGCGGAGGACGATGTCAGTCGGCAGAGTACGACGTTAGTCGGACGACCACGCCGTCAGTCAGCAGAGGACGCCGTCAGTCGGCAGAGGACGCCGTCAGTCCGCGGAGGACGAAGTCGGTCGAAAGAGGACGACGTTAGTCGGCAGACGACGTCAATTGGAAGAGGTCATCGTCAGTCGGCAGATGACACCGTCAGTCGGCGGAGGAAGCCGTCAGTTGGCAAATAAAACCATCAGTCGGCAGAGGACGCCTTAAGTCGACATATAATGTCAGTCAGCAGATGACACCGTCAGTCGGCGGAGAACGTCATCAATTGGAAGAGGACGACGTTAGTCGGCGGAGGACGACGTCAGTCGGAAGAGGACGACGTTAGTCGGCAGAGGACGCCGTCAGTCGGCAGATACCACTGTCAGTCGGCAGATAACACTGTCAGTTGGAAGATAACACTGCCAGTTGGCAGAGGACACTGTCGGTCGGCGGAGGACGCCGTCAGTCGGCAGATAACACCATCAGTCGACAGAAGACGTCTTAAGTCGACAGATGATAAGGTCAGTCAGCAGACGACACCGTCATTGGGCGGAGGACGCCGTCAGTCGGCGGAGAACACCGTCAGTCGGCAGGTAACACCGTCATTGGGCGGAGGACGTCGTCAGTCGGCGGAGGACGCCGTCAGTCGGCAGGTAACACCGTCCGCCCGCAGGTGACATTGCCTACCTGCAGAGGTGACTTCCAGGAGGAAGGCGACACACTCCCCGTCGGCGGCACCATAGACCAACCACACGGGCGGACCCGAGTCGACACAGCATTTAAAACAGAGCACGGCAGTCAATACGATACATCAGCGACAGCACCAATCGTACGGAGCGGCATATCAGGGGCACTTCTCTGACGCACCATTGTCAGCAAACAGAATATCCCCAGCATGCAACAGACCTCCCACGTCGTCACGTCACAGCTCCGAATGACCCTGTCGCGTACACTACGCCGCCGGTATGCTTCCAGGGCCGTTGGCTCCGTTCGACTCTTTCAGATCTTCGCGCTACACCGCTACACTGTAAGTACGGAAGACGAAAAGCTGCATAATATGACGGAGTCCAGTCCACGGAAGCGGACTGGACTGGACTGGACTGGACTGGACTGGACTGGACTGGACTGGACTGGACTGGACCGGACCGGACCGGACCGGACCGGACCGGACCGGACCGGACCGGACCGGACCGGACCGGACCGGACCGGACCGGACCGGACCGGACCGGACCGGACCAGCCGCCGGAGCCTGACGTACCTGAACATGTAGCCGTTGACAAGCGACGCGCTGACGGACCGCTTCCGCATACAGCGCTTGATGACCACGAAGAGCAGGGCCACGACGCAAGAGGCAAACACCGCCGCTATGGCCACTGTAACGATCCGCTCCGTCACGTCTACGCTGCAGCAACACGCCCGCCACGCTTCGTATAGGGATAATACGGCACAGCGTAAACCACGGGCAATTACCACGGCAAGCTGAAAAACATGATACTGGTTTGCCTCAATGGTCTGTATGGCCGCGCCGCAATTTGCTTTTGATCGGAACGACAGGATTGCAGATCACTAATTGGCCGCTGGTGGCGGACATATTAAACGGGCAAGCGTTCCAAGTGCGGGAGCAGCTATCATTCGACGGAACAAACGGACTCATACTTGGTTTGGAGCAAACAAGTTTGGACGTTAACACGAACGACTTCAAAGGTTAGCTGTGATTTCCTAAAATGGACGTCGCAGCAAACACAATGCTCCGCTGAATTTTTCTTCACATACGACACCGCTTGCATTCGATTCGAAACCGTACCGCCGTCTCACTATTCGCCTCCCGACGATGTGCTCGCATTCCCCGCCTTCACACGCCTCTCCACATACCGGCCGTCCAGAAGCCGGCGCCGCCCGAGCTGATCCAGAAGCCCAGCGAGGACGGCGCCAGCAGCGGCTCCACCCGCAGCCGGCTGCCGTTGGAGCTGACGGCGCCCGGCGGCAGCGCCAGCACCAGCGCCGCCAGCTCCATCACATCCACGTTCTCCAGCCGCGTGGTGTGCACGAAGTGACGTCGGAAGGCGGGACCGCGCGCCAGCAGCGGGTGCTCCATGCTCAGCAACTGTGGGTCGTAGCCGTGGTTGCCGAGCGTGCCTGCCGGCAGCGGCCGCCGACGTCAGCCGCATCCAAATGCCGGAAGGGGCACACGCACGCACGCACGCACGCAGTCACACACACACGCACGCACGCACACACCACGCACGCACGCAAGCGCACACACACACACACACACACACACACGCACCCACGCACGCACGCACGCACGCACGCACGCACGCACGCACGCACGCACGCACGCACGCACGCACGCACGCACGCACGCACGCACGCACGCACGCACGCACGCACGCACGCACGCACGCACGCACGCACGCACGCACGCACGCACACACACACACACACACACACACACACACACACACACACACACACGCACACGACGGCTACGGCATGAGGGAATCCCACGTCCGAGGGGTCTCAGTGACTGACACGATCGTGTGTGAGAAGAGGAAGCCGCAGGTGGCTCGAAGCTTCATCTCGTTCGTTTGCCAGCCCACTGATTATTCATCCCCGCACAATACCATCACTGCGAGGCTATCGAGTTCGGCCCGCGGGCGCGGACCTCCCCCCCCCCCCCCCCCACCAGCGAGGTTCCACCCGCGGGCACGGTACCTCCCCCCTGACCGCGCCGTCCCCAGCCTGAGGTGCCGTCCGCGGGCGCGGTACCTCCCCGCCCTGCCCCTCCCCTCACCTGTGAGGTTTCGCCCCTCTTCTCGGTAGCTCTCGAGCGTGGCGTTCAACCCGGGCGTGACGAACATGTAGCCCTCGTGCGCCACCAGCAGGATGTCGGGCACGCGCGGGTTCCGGCGGTAGTGCCACCGCTCGGGGATCTTCTCCTTCACGTACACTGTGTAGTTCAGGCCCAGCTTCTCCGAGCCGTCCCGCAGTCGGTCGTACACGGTCAGGCTCTTGCCTGGCGAAAGTGCCAGCGAACGGAAAGGTCAGGCTTAAAGTTTAGAGCGCATCACGGTCAGGCACGACCACGCTCGCGAATGACGGGCGGACGGGCGGCCGGTAAGGTAAGCAAAGTGGTCACGCATCGCTTGATCGATGAGGGAGGGGGGGGGGGGGGGGGGAGGAGAGGCTACGAAATAGCGCAGAATAAGAACTATGGCAAAGGTAAATTTATATTCACTGCACGTGAACAATTCCTGCTTATGATCTTTCCGCAAGTAAGTCCGTTCCCTATTCATATTAACTGAAAACTGAGAGGGACCGGAAGATGGCAAGCTAGATATTTCACCCGCTAAAGCATACTCCGTGAACACGAACGTACGTAACGGAGGCTTTAAACGTATCTCCCAGACATTGCGCAGTACTTTCTTCATATTCAACTTCACACATTGCGTCACGGCAATCAGCAGCATTGCCGGCAGCAGAAGCAAAGGGTCAACAGCCGGCAGTCAGAGCACGGCTCAGCGGCAATCCGTGGGCAGCTGCCGAGGTCAGCAGCCGCCGCCGCACCAGCGCGGCGGCACGGCGTCTGCCCCACGCTCACCTGTGCGCGGCACGATCCGGAGCACGGGGTTGGGTCCCAGCGCCTGGTACCAGTCCGGGTCGAGCAGCGCGTCCAGGTCGATGAGGTGTCCGGGCGGCACGGCCGACATACCGTGGTCGGACGTCACCACCAGGTTGACGCGGTCCTCCAGCTCGAACAGGCGCAGCGTGCGGACGATGTAGCCGAGCAGCTCGTCCGTCCGCCGCAACTGCTCCCACACCTGAGGTGGCGGGCCAGCGACACCATACAGCGCGCGCATGGCGGCTACATCCGCCGCAACTGCTCCCACTCCTGAGGTGGTGGGCCAGCGACACCATACAGCGCGCACATGGCAGCCACGTAGAGGGTGACGGGAGGGGGGGGGGGGGGGGTCGGTGCTGGCTGGCTACGCAGCGTAAAGTTAAAGCGTTCCGGCTGCGGTGTGATTTCGCGAAGATTCACCTCATCATTTCGTTCTGTCTCCACATTCCAAAGTGAATGCACTTTCCTCTGGTCTCCTCCAGTTGACGGCCAACACGGCTCAGGCATACAACAGTCCACAAGCGGTCACATTCGCGAAGACGGAGCCACCCCGAGCCCAGAGTGGACCGACTACCGTAACACGCCAGAGCCGCAAAACCGCGATCGGATTACAACGCCAGACCGGTCACACAGGTCCGGGGCCAGCGCGGGGCGCGAGCCTGACGGCTGACCTGCGGCGAGTCCGGTCCGAAGGCGTGTCCCACCGCGTCCGGCTGCTCGATGTACCAGAGCACCAGGTTGGCCGGCCGCTCGGTGTCCCGCAGCCAGTCAAACACCATGCTGACCCGCTCGCGCCAGGGCACCGACCTGTCGGCACGGTCGCGGGGTGTCGGCTCTGGTACCGGCACAGTACGTGGGGTGTCGGCTGTGGTACCAGCACAGTACGTGGGGTGTCGACTGTGGTCCCGGGGCGGTACGCGGAGTGTCGACTGTGGTCACGGGGCGGTGCGCGGGGTGTCGACTGTGGTCACGGGGCGGTACGCGGCGTGTCGACTGTGGTCCCGGGGCGGTACGCGGGGTGTCGACTGTGGTCACGGGGCGGTACGCGGCGTGTCGACTGTGGTCCCGGGGCGGTGCGCGGGGTGTCGACTGTGGTCACGGGGCGGTACGCGGGGTGTACACCGTGGTCGCGGGGCGGACCGCCATACACACGTGCTTCGGGCACCTGTCGAGGCGCGGTGCGCCGCTGGCGGACACGCCGACCAGACAACGAACAAGGACCTGACGATCCGGGTGATCGCCACACGAGAACACTGCGACGCAGCTCCACAGTACAGACTCGATTGGGTATCAGCTTCTCCAGCTGAGTAGTGGCTGGAAATGTCACTCAGGCTGATTACGTCGGGCTTCATACGTAAAAGTAAGCGTTCGCGCAGGCACAATGGCGGAGTCCCCGCCACTGATGTAGCCAGCGCCGTTTCTCACTTGTTGTAATTCTGGACATAAGTGGGAGGCCTGATGTACGCGCAGCCGGGCCACATCATGCAGCCACTGAAGCGACCGCCGGCCGCGGCCTCGTTCAACGCCTGTCCACAAACACGGCGTCAACGGTTCACTGCTTGTAAAATCAGGCTGGCCAAAGCAAATGAGGGCAGCCTCATGCGGGTGTCATTGGGTTGGGTTTGCCACGAGCAAACCATCGCAAAAGACGTGGAATGAAAGGCGAATCACATCTTGAAGACGACACGATGAAACCGACAAGGGAGTCTGGAAAGCAATTCAAAGGCCAGACCTAAACGAATACAATAGCATTGTTAAAACTGGTCGCCATGATCGGAATGAAAGGCGACACCATGGTACTCGATGTATGGACAACTCACCCAGATCGGCTGCACTTGGTCGTTGTAGTTCCAGTAGGCAGTCTCATTCATGTCCACCACCCGCTTGGACTCGGGATCAATGTACGGTCCGATGACACCGTGCGACTCAGCATACAGGCCGGTCGCCATGGAGATGTGATTTGGAAATGTCTTGGAGGGGAACACGGGCCGCACGTGCGGCACGAACGACCACTGGCGCAGCTGGTCAAAGTGTGTCAAGTTGCCCCTGTACAGGAAATCGTACCGAAACCCATCGAAGGATAACAAAAGCAAGATAGGTTGCTCGGAAATGCTAGTCACCACTAGCCACTGACTGAGGAAAAGCGGAAGGCAGAGAATGGGCGTGGCTGACCTGGCAATCACTGCCATGGCGGCTGGTTACCTCTTATCCCACAGTACAGACTTGGGATCTGTTTGATGCAACACACAGACCTCCAGCAATGCTTCTGGCAGACAACCAATTTGCTCAGCTAGCTCAGTTCAGCCAGTTGCATGTAATTACTGTTTGGATTCTTCCACTCTTGCTGAAACAGAGAGGTAATTTAGTTGGTACCTAGTTGTGTGTTTGTCCCCACAATTTGTCTAAATCCAAAACATTTGCTAAATAAACCTGGTTGTTTGAAGTTTTGCTGTTTGCTTGTATCTTCCATCCAACATGAAACATGGATGACCATGTTAGCAATGAGACATCCAACATGAAACATGGATGGCCATGGTAGCCATGGGACATGCCATGGTAAAGTATCTGTGCACTGCACTTCATGATTATTTGCCAGGGTTTTAATGTGGAACATAAAGCATGCCTCAAAAACTCACCTCACTCATCCATTCCCCTTAAACTAATTATCTTAGCTTGCCTTTTTAGGCAAATAACTTGGTTGCATATTTCACTGATAAATACTATTTTTATTTTTCTCAAGTAGCATCCTATTATTCCAAAACATCATCACAATCACCTTCTCATAACTTTCTTATTATATCACCCATTTTCTTGCTGAAGATTATGCCAGGCTGCGAGAGCAAGTGGGAACCCTAGTCACCTGTTTATGGCTTGAGGAATGGCAGAGTGGTGCCATTTGAGCTGAAAACCTATATGTTGGCATACTCAGCTAGTTGATTCATGAGCCTTGTTATAAATATATATATATATATATATATATATATTAATGGAGCAGCCACTTGAATTGTGTCAAATTTGTTTTACCACTTTGTGGATGGTGACAACCAATGTCATCTAATTATTACTCAATCAATGTTTGTGTTACAGAATTATTTTTATTTGTTATATTCTTACCACAGCAGAAGCTGAGAGTAACAAAACTCTTTCTTATGGGAGTATATAAGAGGTGAATTGATTTTGGGGTTAAAAATATAACAAAGTACCACAACTTCATATGATGAGCTGCTCACCTTATGAATGATGCTGCATGATGCAAACTATGATGTCCCTATAACATTTGCAGTTAAGATAGTGCCATTAACATATACAACTACCTTCTGACAATAAATAATAGGCTGCTGGCTAAGGAGTGGGGATGTAGATGGTGGCTGAAAGACCAAGGTTTGGGTAGTTGATTCAAGTTTGATAAATATAAGACATACTGAGTTGCAAGCACCTAATAATGAGAATGCAGCCTCATTAATGACAGACACTGCACCCAGAAGAAACTCAAATCATTATCATGTGACACCCATACATATGCCAGGAGTGTACTTCACCATAAAGCTTCAAAGAGAGCCCAAAGTTCTACAGGCCCTAAAACAACATCTGGGCTTTAGTTGTGTGTTTTGATTACAATTACATCAAAATAATGTAAACCAGCAAACCAAATTATGGCCAATAATCAAGAAAGAGTACTCATTTAGCTGGGTTCACAACCCAAAAAATAATCAGCAACAGAATGATATAATAATGTGCTACCCAATCTTGTCATAGTGTAAACTCAATACAAGTTCCACTTCTCTCCACTTAAGATGCAATAAATCTGAAATCACTGACTGATGATTTTCAGAAGCACCCAAAACTTCACATATCGGCTAAAGCTGGCCACCCCTTCAACTAAATCAAACTCAAATGCTATGGTATTGCATTGAAAGGACCAACATGAAACCATTTGACAAACCTACCTCTCAAATGTTTTTTTACTGCTTCTGATATGGGCTGTGCTTCAGCTGGCATTGCCACCTGCCAGGTTCAGTGTCTGAAGCAAGTCCACATATAAGCATATTCATAATCACCGTACTTCTGCCCAAGATTACCAGTGCAAAATCATAATTCCTTCAAACATAGGCTGCCCATGGAGTGTAAATGGAAGCCAACATGCACCAAACGCTGAAGTTGCTGGTTTGCAGCATGCATGCACTGTAGTTGTTCTTGGGATGCTTGAATATTTCCCAAATCCACAAATATGTTCCAACATCACACCAAAAATATCAGTGCAACCACGAATATATTATGTGGGTTATGATCAATCAATCATGATCCCCACTCGATATAGCCTGCAGGCCACGAAGAAAGCCCAACATTATCGCAATTTCACCCACGCAGACCCCCGCCCGCAACCAAAACCTCGCACGACGTATATCATCCACACCACCGCATCCCCACCGTAACACCCGTCCTCACCACTGCGGTTCAATGTTTACGCCGCTTCCTCGCTTGCTCATGCTGCGCCAAATCATGCACCCGGCGTGACGAAGGTGATATGGTAGCTCCATTTCAAGAATTGGTGGAGGTAAATCCCCGGTTGCTATATGTCCTAAGAGAATTTGCGTGCCGGTGGGGTTGTCGAGGCGATACCCGCAGCGGTGGTTGCAGCAACCGACTATCATAGAAGTCAAAGATCAGCTCGACGTACAGGTCGCGAAAATCTAAGCCGTTAGTTTTGACGGTTTGGCCCCAAGTGTGACCACATTCTGTTGTACCACTAAAACATTGAGGTTATATTCCGGCGTGTAAGTTTCCTTTTTCATATGGGTGGGGGATCCCATGAATCTTACCCATTCCATTTTCCAGACGCATTTGTTCACATTCTTCGGCCACGTCTTTTTGTGATTACACTTTGAGCCCTTGTGTCATCCTATCAGATGTCTCACGTAAAAACCGTATGGCTGGAAGTGGAGTGGAGCGGAAGTGGAAAATTGGTGGCGCCAACCCATTGGGGTGAACCGGGGGCGGCGCCACCAATTTCTGATAGGGTGGGGGAGGGGCAGGCCGAAAAATGTTGCAAGATTTGAGTAAAAATAAATGGACAGAAATGGTGCCTTTAATAGCTGGCATTCCCGTCAATGATCATTGTTACGCACATTTTTCATGTGCCTTGAGTTACACCGCCAGAAGGGTAAGGCATGGGGGCATGGAATTCAGAGATGAGGGCAGGTCTAAGACACACCACTTCCTGAAAATTTAAAATTGACCCTTTGAGCGCTGACCGGAAAGAAACCAGCAAAGGGGCTATCATTGCCTTGCCTTTCCGACGTGGACAGAGGTCCGTTGCTTCATGCCAACGGAAAATATTATCACAATATCGCAGCTCGTTCTCAACACAGTTCATATTATCATCTAGACCAGGTGGCCACATCATGTAGCAGTGCGTAAACGCTTGTATGTACAGTGGCAAAAGTTTTGCAAGGTGATATTTCATGCATTTTTCCCCGCAGCTACACTATGGCTTGGATGTCCGATTCCAAAACGCTTTTGTTTGCTTATGGAAACTAATAACAGAATAAGTCTGGCCATTCATTACGATGTATATAAAGCATTCCAACGACACGTTGCTCGAGGATCTCATTCCAGGCCTGCACCACCACAGTTTATGGTGCTGCCCCAAACGCCGTCAAACATTCTTTTATTTGATGCGTTTTTGCTGGCAAAAGCAACTGCAGTCCATCAATTAGATGAGCCGGATCCATTTGCTCCAGGCGAAGGCAAGCACGTAACACACTGTTGCTGGGTCGATCCTCTTCTGTGCCACCATTAATCAAAGCAAGCTTTCAGCCGGTGTCGAACGCTGAAGCTGCATTCAGCTGTGGTTGGGCTGGCGGGCATGGGCATGGAAAGACAGTCAAGTTTGACAACTGCAGGGATAGGTTCCCGCACGTTGTAGCCCACATTGTGGAGAAAAAAAAAACAGGCGAGGAGACGCACATGTGTCCACCAGGGACAATATTTGCTCCCTCGGCAAGTGGCAAAGGGCAGATCCGTTTGGCTCTGTAGTGGCGCTGCTCCTGGTCGTTTCCGTAGGGTTGGTATACGCAGCTTCTGCGCGACCTGGAATAAGACTGCTACCAGCTTGAAAAGAGTAAAGAAATGAATGAATGGAATTGGGCCTCTTCCGGTAACATAAGTGACATGCTGCAACGCAGTAAAGTTAAGGCAAAGCACACTTTAAATATACTCCTGTACGTCGTATGGGTTGAAGAACCGTGCCCGACTGATGGGGGACATCTGTAACCCTTTAAAGATTTTCTAACGCCGTAAAAATACAAGGCCGCAATACCCGCGAAATCTTTAGAACCAGTTCGTCAGGCTCGTAGCCAAAATCTTCCTCGCAACGGGTCAGATATAAAAAGTTGTCTTAAGATACACAGCGTATTATGATTGTATCTGATTGGCAAAACTGCAGAAAATGCGGCTCCAGTCACTCAGGGATAATATTCTGAAATGGGTGCCTGCCAGTCCGGCCAGTCATTGATTGCCGGAATGCTCCCTGAAAGCCATTCCACTGCAGGTTACAAGGCTATAGAATGTTAAAGATCAAACACAAGTAAATACAAATGAAACACATAACAGGATACTTTTGCAATATACACCAAGCCTGTCCCTATTTCAACAAGTTATGATGGGTCTAACTTTTTGGCTGTTACCTCGGACTTGTCTCGGCCAGCGCAGTGACTTGGTATGAACTTCAAAATCGCCCCGGGTACAACATGGATGGTACTAAAAAAGGTATTCACAATTCTGCACCACTGCGTTTCGTTGTTTTTTAAATTTTTGTTTTGCTCCGTTTTAGCCCTTTGCTCAGCCCCGGAGACATTTAGAGCAAGGATTTCTGCCCCCTCGGCCATCATCGTCGTGATTAGGGCCTAACGACGCACTTATCTGGTGGGTCTAATAGCATCGCCTGCCTCTCACCCTGATAAGGAGCGGCGGGCACCACGGAGACGTCCCCCGACAGAACCCGGCTGAGACTTTGCCTTCATTTCAAACCGGAACTTTGTCGCACCAAAGCAATTGAGAAGACAATTGTTTAAAGATGCATTTATATTCGACTAAAAATACTTTTAACACAAAAATTTATCTAAATTGTCGCAACTTGTAACCAGTGGAGCACGGCAACCGATGAAGAACAAAAAAGGAGGGGGGAGGGGGGGGGGGGGGGAGAGTGGGCCGGGCATTTCGTTCCGAGGATTGAATGCATATATTTTGTTATAGAAACCATTTTGTGTGCGCTTTGAGACAGCGGCTGGCTCGTAAATACTAAGTTGTAGCACATAAGCTGCCTTTTTAAGGCATAGTTAAATAAGAGCCATGTAAGGTCGCGCCATTTTTATCGAAAATCGTAGGGTGTTTGCCTGTAATAAGTGCTTTCTCGCATGAAGGGATGCGTTGTCTTCACTTTTCTACATCCTCATGGCTGGTTTTGCGCCATCGACATCGACAGGCAATCCGTTTCTCGGTGCGCTTTCTGGTTCTCGGAGGACGGGGCGGGTTAATACGGCTTGAAACAACTCGCCCCATTCTTTATCCATGCATTCAATATGTATCTCTGCATGATCTCTATCTTTATCTGCATCTTTGCTAAGCGGTGGGGGGGGGGGGGGCAATTGCCCTCCCCTCTTGCTGCGTCGCCCCTGATTATGGCGCCTATCAGACAAGACAGCTGCATTCTATGCTTCGAGGGAATGTTTCATATTTGTATGGGGTTTTGAAATGAACAGCCACATTGGAGATCATTTGGTGCAGCTCACAGTCATGCCCTTCTTAGGGCCTAAGCTCATCTAGTCTATTACCTACACGCCCACACAGGCGTGCAGACTTTTTCTTGCACGCCATTTCAAGGTCAGCCAGGCATCTATGACGCCATAATACCTTTCATTCAAATCCTGGCATTTCATTACCGATGCGACGATCGAGCCAATAGCAATATTCTTGTCGGGCCTGTAATATCTGGCGCATGTGTGCACGACTTCTAGATATAACGGCGTCAGTTGGTTCTCAACCATTGTTGTGGAAGCTTTGCAAGATTCTAAAACATTTTGTGCTTCCTAATAGGAATTGTAACTTCTGCCTGAAAAGTACGGAAATAGGACTTGTAAAGGAATAACTTAAGAATAGCGATACAATCGAGCATGTTGATACAAAAAATCCCCTTAAGTAACGGATGAATATAAAGAACACCACGAGAAAGTCGCAAAACAACCACCTAACGATATCTGATTCAGCAAACATCCAGCACCACCGCGGCTACCTCTCGGGGAATTTAAGAACTACAAGCGAGTTCTGTCATGCAAACGTTCCCTAGCGCAATAAGAATGGCGCATTGAAGAGCATATTTACTAGAAAGAGACATCTTGATGCCTACAGCAGTCTTTTCCACATCAAAGTATGTCATTAGTTATGAGTGAGCTTAGTTTCACATATCTGATACTCGCTTAAATGTTTTCATATGTAGAACATTCACTTTAATCCTAACGAGCGGAATGTCTTTGTGACGGAGGATGAGGGCTAAAACTGTCACCTTTTGATTTGTTATACTTACATCCGCTGCGCATCCGCGGCCATAGGGTAGGTGTTCCAAAAAAGTCTTCATTGGACCGCCAACCTATTTTTTCATTTCGGATGCATATACCTAACCTTATAATATAATGAGTACCGAAACAAGAAGCTGTAAAGAGCCTGAAAGCATCTTCGACCCTTCCTTTATCTTTTAGTGACGACTTTCATCACGGGGCCTTATATTCACTCCAAGTACAACTAACCCGTTAAGCATAGCCTGATCATAACATGAGCTACCATACTTTTCTTCAAATCTGCAAAACAATGCTCATACATCTGTTTTTTATTCCACACTCAGCGAAATTGTTGAATTTTATCCATTTTCAGATCTGGAAGTATGAATCATTTTAAAGAGATTGCTGAAGAGTCAACACACGCGATCCACGCGGTCCCAGGTGCAAATCCTCTTTGTCCAAGACAAATCCTGTTGTTTTTTCAGAAGGCTCCTGAAAAGGAGCCTTCTGAAACTCAATAATTATGCTGAAAGGCAAGAATTCAAACAGCTCCAACCAGTATTAAAGTACAAATACCAAGACTGACTTTACACTCACCTGGGTGCATGGAATGACTACAGTGCTAAACCTGCAGATACGTAGGCATGCCTTACGTAAACGAAATTTGGCCATTCAAAGCCCAAAGTTAGTAGGTAATTCTAAACTAGCCAGGCTGTCAATTTCACACCGAAACACTAGCATATACAATAAAAAACGAGTCACGCATGGACACATGTCATAGAAGATCCAGAGCATCGTTCATGGCCACCAGGCATCACAATATACCATTTCCAGTTCCATAAAGAGCGATGGATATCTAAATAATGGCTAGATTT